CTCAGGTCAGAGGGTTGAGGGCCCACCCACTCTAGACAGGTGCACAGACTGGAGGAAGTTCGGTGAACCCTGATTAGCACTGGTCACTCCACACCACAGGAGACTGGGTTCCCCGTTACAACTCTAGTGACAGATATTTCATTTACAGTTAATTAACTATTTCTATTAAGGAACCTCAAGGTGGTTGGTCCAGGCAGAATGCAACATCATGGCTCTGTGCCTGACTGGCCTTTCCCTAAGACAAGATCGGCCCTGGTCTTGGGCCTGGCTTACCAGACCAGCGTTGTCGCTCCGTCACCATCCCCACCATCCTGGCGAATTTCTCCTGAGGTCCACCAGTGTCTGTTTCTGACCACTCAGCTTAGTTTGACCAGCCCAGCACATCAGAAGAGTTATACTAACATGAACCCCAAAGGGAAGGAGTCAGGATTTCTAATTCACCAGGGAAATCTTTGGCCCCTTTGCATAATTGCCCACCTCCTCTCCAGCAACCTTCACATTCCATTCCACAGTTTGCTGAGGAGACACAGAGGCCCTTGCCTTAGCCAAGCCAAGAAATGGCTGCTCAGCCCAACTGCTCCAGATTCAGGGGCCTGCCTGCGGTACAGCCACACAGCTGAAAGAGGCACAATACCAGTTATATTTATGATGTGAAAGCTACAGCATTTGGTGATCAAAAAGTCAAGTATGATTCCCAGGTCTCTGGCTTTGCCAACTGGAAGGGTGATGTCACTGACGGAGACAGGGATTTCTGGAAAAAATCAGATTTACAAAGAAGATATCAGGTGTTTTGGACACCTGAAAGTATGCATTGGTTCTAAAAATAGTCAGGTGGAAGGTTTGGGTTTCAAATTTAAGAGAAGCGAGTGAGTGTGAGATTTGGAAATGACTGATGTATTTGTGGTAGTTGAGTCACAAGTAGGCTGTAATTGGGGAGAAGGGGGCTGAGACGGAATCTGATGAATAGGACCACCTGAGAAACAAGCCTTCCAGGGAGACTGAGAAGGAGCTCTCGGGGTAAGAGAAAGGCAGAGTCATATCATAGATCCCAGAGGGAGAGAATATTTCAAGAAGAAGGAATTTGTTCAACAGTGTCCAAGACAACAGAGAACAAGAAACATGAGGGTTGAAATCAGGTTATGAATTTCTCAGCTAGATAAGACCTATTCAGGTCTGTTTGGCATGTTATTGACCAAGGTCGTGTGAGCAGATCATTTCCTTTCAACAATCTGTACTTGGAGTTGTATCATTACACTCTTATCAGCACAGTATTGACAGTTACCTAGTAAGCAGTAATTGGTGTAACTGAGGTTTTTTCATCACATCTTACTTTATGATTTCATCAGAAGCCAGAAAAGTTACTTTCTTTTTCTTACAAACAAATCTAGTAGCTACCTTATTCTGTTTTGGCTATGACATTGCCCAGGACCGCAGGGGTTCTTTTGAGTTCATCATGTCTACCCACATGTCAGGTGATGGCTCAGTTCTCCCACTCTTTATTAGAATACCAGGAAAACTTATTTTGAACAATATGTTATGACATCCTTTGGTCTCACTTGGCTGGGGCATATTTTTCATATAGTTAACCCACATCTTTTCTCTTTTCTGACATCATTAAAGTATTTCTACTTGGACCCAACGTAATCATAAACAGAAATGCAAATACAGGCACTGAAATCAAGTGTTAGTACTTGATTAAAAGACAGTTCAGAAAATGCTTACATTAATACTTCTAGGTCACTGAACTGTATATGTAAAATGTCACAACCATCCTGGAAAGTTTGCCCTGCAGAATTCACCTTGTTGACCTACATTTCGGAAACATTGCTGGGAAGGCTGTGCCCAGTGAATGGCCACTCCAACTGTCACGCCTAGATTTTATTTTTGATTTCAGAGTCTTTAAGGGAGAAAGGCTCATTTGGGAGCCTCTGAGGAGCAACAATAGACAGCGGTAGTTACTGGTCTGTAACAACTTCCAGAGATGGTTTTTACTCTTTTCCTTTATTCCCATCTTTTCTAACCATATAAATGGAAGCGTCTTTGATAATTAACTATAGGATGTTAACTTTTATTTCATCTACGGTGCCCAGTAAGTGACAGATTGCAATTGACAGTTGGTTAAGGCTTCTTTTATTTAATAGATAGTCAAGCTGTTAATACAGGTCTGTCCAGAAAATATCCATCCATATAGTATGAAAAATAGAGACATTTATTGAAAAATATACAAGATACAAGAAACATTGTACATAGACGATAACACCTCAATCCCCTTCAAAGCAGGCACCTTGTGACCTCACACAGTTCTCCCAATCACTGCCAGTTACCCCATCTTATTTTCCTGAATCTCATCAACAGTCTGAAATCTCTTCCCTTTCAAAGGTGATTTTAATTTCAGGAAAAGCTAGAAATCACAGGTGTATGGGGCTGGGTCACCTGGGTGATCTGATGTTTCACCAAAAGCTCTGCATGAGACATGATGCGTGAATGGGTGCATTGTCATGATGAAGTTGCCAATCACCAGTTGCCCATAACTGCAGCCTTCTGAATCATCCGAATAGTTTTGGTGGAGGAACATTCAAGCTTAACGCAAAATTGGATGCATTTTTTTTTGTTCTATCACGCAGTCATTTTGAATGTGATGGCCACACAATACACATGATAACTCATCGGTGTCTATCACCCCGACTGACTAATACAATGAAGTCGTCATTGTTCACACATGCTCATTCCAGTCTACTCTCCTTGGCTGCCAGGTTACATCAATGTTGCACAAACCATTCTTGTTATATCAACAATGGCTGGACTTTTTCCAGACAGATTTGTGTATTTTGGGTTGGGGGGGGAAAGGCTTGCATAAAATTGTTATCACCATGGAGATATGCATTGAAATAAATTAAGGCGGCCTGGCTTTCTTGTCTTTCTATTTCTTTCTTTCTATTAACTTTCTTTCTTTCTAAACCCTTTTCTTTCTATTAACTTTCATGAGGAGTCCTGGCCTGGGGGCAAGGAGGTCATTAAAGATATTTACTGATACTTCCTTCTCCTTCTGAGCATCCAATAGGATTGAGCTTCTCCACATGGTCCTGTGACTTGCTGTGGCCAATCAAATATGAGCAGAAGTGGGCATATCATTTCTAGGGGAAACCATTAAAAGTTGGTGTCAGAGCCATGACATTCTTCTCTCTCTTCCCCAATGCCAGCAATAATGAAGTCTCCATTAATCTGTGTCCATGAGTGAAAGTGATCAGGAGTAAAGCCCTCCAGTATCCATAGATGGAAAGATAGGATAAGCAAACCTGATTGTTTTAAGGTATTGAGATTTGGAGCCTGATGCTGATATTCTTGATTTTTCAGGGGTCAAGCACCTTAGGTGGTCATTATGCTCCTGACAGTGAAGAAAGTTAACAAGATGGCCTAAGCCAGCTGACACATTTGGAAAGTGGATTCAACTATCACAAACCCAGGTTATTTTAGTGAGAGTAATCATGATTACACAGTTCCTTACAATTCTCAAAAGCATTTTTGCATAGATTATCTCATTTATTCTTCCTGTGTTCTCAGGGGTAGTCAGACCTCTGCCTCTTCTTTCCAGACCAGCCTTTCCTGGTCAGCGTGAGATGCTCTCATTGTCCCATCCTACTTTGAATATGTGCTCCAATTTTAAAATATTATCTGTTTTCCTAGGAAACTGCATCTTCTTCATAATTGTATACCTTCTTTCCAACACCCGTGCTCCACGGTTTCAGACTCACAGTAAATGTTTTACAAATGCTCATCTGAAGAAGTTGAGTACAGCTGCAATTCCAAGGTTGCAAACTGACAGATAGTAACCAAGATTCAAATCTAAGGCTTTTGACTCAGTCTGTGACTTAACTGTCATTTACTGAGAGCTGAGGAAGAGAAAGCAGCTCTGATATCAACGTGCTGGCCTAGGTATTGCTATGAGCTCTTCTGGGCTACTATCAGGACGTTCTGAGAAATAAAAACGCTTTCATAGAACACCAACTCAGACAAGGTCATTCTGTGACCATGATCAAGACAAAAACAAGACCGCTCCATAATCTTCTAACACAGACAGAACATGAACATTAGCTAAACCACAAAAATGACCAAAAATGGCTGTGACTGCTGCTTCCGGTCAGTGATGGTTTTAGCCTCTGTCTAATCTTCGCTCCTTCTAAATAAGATCTATTGAGATATTTGGACATGAAGCTACCCCACCTCCTAATAGCATCTGATCCAGTGCAGGCTTTGCTTTCTTGAACCCTTCTCAAAACCAAAGAACATAAGCCCAAGTTTCATAACGTTGTAAACGCTTTCTACCGCGATACTCCATGGTTTCCTATGAATGCATTCCTCCTCACTATAAAACTACAGGACAAAATACACTCAGCTTGGTCACAGTCGGGTTATGTTCCTGATGCTCTTACTGGAGCCCATGTACTGTCCCTCCAGTGCTCCAGGGCTGGAGGGCCTCTTTATAACAATCCTGTAAGAATATTACTACCACTGGAGAGAGAGAAAAATGGAGGTTCACAGAGATGAAATAATTTGCCTAGGTTTATACCACCAGGAAGAGCCGGTGAGCACATTCCAGACGAAGGCTCACTCTGCCAGGACTCCCTCTCCTGCAGCCTGCGTCCCCGACCCTGTCCTCCTCCCCTGCGTTTCTTCTTAGGGCCCTTGCCCGGCTCCCTAGAATGCTACCAGGAGGTGCAGGGCAAATAGTTACTTCTGCAATAGATCCCCTGTGTGCTTCTGTGAAAAACAACACCGGACCCAGACTTGCTCTGGAACCGCAAAGCCTGTGCCTGCGCCCTCGGTGCTGTCCAGCCCTAGGCCTGGGTCTTGGGGGCGGTGGCGCGAGAGCGACGTCGGGGTTGACCAATCAGGGGGACGAATCACCGGAGAGCCTGGCGGGACTGCGACACCTCCTGCGGCCCAACCAGCTCCCTAGCGGCCCCGCCTCCTTGGCGGGCGGAGGCTGAGCCGGCGCAAGGCCCTGCCTGGCTATCTGGTCTGCTCCCCGCACAGGGTCCACTACTTGCGCGCAGCGCCTCCAGAAGTTCCCGGGGCCGCGGGGCCGCGGAGGAGCTGACCCAGGGGACCGTCGCCGTGGTCACTCTGGACGCGGAAGTGCGCTTTCCTAGTTTTGTTTTCAAATAAGGCTACAGTCTCCCGGCAGGTGCATTAGGTCGAATTCCACGGAGATTGCCCTCCCATCCCTGAGGACCCCGCCTCCGAGGGCATCGGCTGCTCGGGAGGAGCGGCCGAGCGCAGAGTAAACCCGAGGGACCCCGAGTGCAGGAAGACTAACAGTGGGGTGAGTGAAAAAAATAATAATAATAACAAGCCACTTTAACGTGGGGAGCTGCTTTCTGAAAGGCCCCCTTCCTGTCCGCTGTTAACAAGCAGCCAGATGACAATAACAAACAATGGCGCAACGTTCGCGTCCGAGAGCAACCTCACAGTTCTGCTTAGGAAAACCCGCTGACAGTGTAACAGATAGGAACAGTAGTGTGAACCCTGAGTCACCAAAATGGATAACTTAGTATTTTACAGAGTTGTCTTGAAGTCGGTGTAAGCCCTACAAGCCCTTCTCTTTAAATCGGGAAGTATGACAGTCTCAGGTTTATCGAGCGCCCCATTCCAGCGTAGACGTTAACTCTCTTTGAAAGTGCTTACTGCTTTCTGTTCTCTCGTTTACGTGTTTACGCCACAAAATTCCTCTAACTTTCCCATCAGTAAATATCTGACCTCCAACAGAAGAATGCAACTCATTGTTCCTTTTCCGTTTTTATAGAACTCAGCTACCTACCCAAGCACAATGAAGATTTTCCTTGTAGAACCTGCCATTTGCCTGACTGCATTTGCCATGAGTTTGACCTCCCCACTGACAACACAGTATGTATACAGGAGAATATGGGAAGAAACAGGCAACTACAGCATGGCACCCGAGAGCAATATTTCTGAGTGCGAAAAGAACAAAAGCAGCCCAATTTTTGCATTCCAAGAGGTAAGAAATCAAAATACCCCTAAAACATAGTAAAAAGGAAAGTAACCGTTTTAAATGAAGGAGAACTTGCCAGTCATCATACGTTGATCTTTCAAGGGTCACTGCGAAACTCGTAAAACCCTAAACCAAAGTGCCTATCTTCAGTTCTCATCCTGTTTGACGTTTCCTGACACCTTTCGTCTGTTTCTGCCACTTAAAAATCCCGTTTCTGGCTCTTCCTCTTCCTCTCAGAAAATTTCAGAGCAGTCTCATCTCCTCTGTGGCTCTCTCCTTCCTCCACCCCTCCACCCCCAAGAAGCCTGAGAGTGGACCAAGGCCAGTACGAATGAGTGTTCTGTGGAGAGGGCGGGGGTGCAGCATGGTGCTTCTGCCTTTCCCATGTTCTCTTCCTCCCAGCCCCCCTCCCCAATGGCACATGCATGACTCATCACTGAAGACTGTGGGGCCAGCCTCTGTCATGCTGGGAGGTGAGACAGCACTGGTCATTCGTCATTTGGTTATATCAAATCGGCTTTGACTCCCATGTGTGGGGACACTTGGGGTGGAACGCAGTCATTTTGCTCTGAGGACACTGAAACTATTTAGCCAGATATTACAAAGTCTTTCCTTCTTCCTCTCCACCCCCAATTTTTATTCATTTAAAACCAGAGGTCCATCACCAATCTCCTGTCCCCTGAGGCAGTATTTAACAAAGTCTACCAACGTCCAAATGCAAAGGAGATAGCATCCAGATTTGGCTCTCCCACCCCCCACTAATGCCTGAAAAACAAACCACATTTATAAACTTTAAACTCTTCCTCTTGGGAATATTTTGTGATGGCAAAGGGTGGTGCTGCCTCCCCATCAAAGGACAAGAAGAGTTTACAGGAATTCATGTCACCTGCCTGCTGGTTCGAAGATTGTCTTCTCAGAGGAAGAGAATTCAGGTGTGACTGGGAGAGGAGTCCTAAGTGCTAGAGGAAGTGGCAAAACACATGGAAGGAAGGTTCTAGCCCTTCCTGAGGTACTCCCCCAGGTGTCAGGCATACCCTCGCCAGGGTGGGGCCTGGCTGTGTGGACCCCTTGCTGTTATAGCACATTTCTTTATCATTCCGACATACGAAATACACACGTACATGTATTGGAATGAAAAATATTATGAATTTCATGGTATAGCTATAAGAGTTAACTGAGCTATTTCATTTGTATTTAACATTTAAAAATCTGTTTGGATGAAAGTCTTATTTTCCACCCATTGATCTAACCTGTTTTTTAAATCTTCAACTTATCTGAGCCCTGTGACAATGAGGTACAGTTACACATTCTCTCTGGCAAGGAGAGTAATCTCTAAAGGCCTCTTAACAAAATGCGGGGAGGGGGCTGTGGGAAGGAAACTCTGAGCTCAGGATAAAGAGGTAGGGAATTCTAGGCGTGTTGGTTGACTATCATGGAGGAAGAATTTTTAATCTTAACACTCCCTTCTTCCCTTGCTAAATGGTTCATTTAAAAGTGTCCAATTGGTCACTGGGGTCTATTAAGACAACTTTCAAGACAGGAACTTTGCTACTGGAGGGGACAACTTAGGATTACCAACAGATCACAAAGCTGTTCTTGCTCAACAATTTGTATATAAACTTTTAGTAACCAATACAATCCACTGTTATCAGCAGAAAAGGAATATTTTCTATTTAATTGTAATTAATACATACATTCTGGCCTATGAAATTGTGACTGCTTTAAAATTACTATTACTCTCCTTACTTTTTCCCTGTCTCTGTACATGGTCATTCTGTCCACTGTTAGATAGAAAATAGCACCTTTTTAAACTCTGATTTCTCCCATTTGCGCTTATATATTACATAATTGTAATTCTCCAGAGTTTAAAAGGTACACACACAATTTATGTCTTAACTTTGACTCATGATTGAAATATGCTTTGCGTTTGTTGAAAAACTGTTTTCAAACATAGGCTAGAGATGAAGAGTGTTGTCTGTGAACAATCGGGATAGGAATGACAGCAAATAGAAAGAAAAAGACAGGACTCGGGAGAGAGGGAAGTGGAAGGAAGAACCCAAATGAGAACATCTTTTGACAAGTTGATTAAAAGATAACTGTTTCATTTATTTATTCAACAAGTACTTATCTGGTGGCTACTAAATCTGTAGGAGATACAAAGATGTACTCAAGAAGTCTGATCTTAAAAAAATAAAATGTCTAAAATTGAGTGAGCATCGATCATGTACTAGGACCTTGTACCCAGCACATTACATGCACTTTAAATTGAACTCTCATAACAGCCTACAAGGTAGGGACTCTTGTTACCATCTCTTGTCCAATGAAGGAGCTCTTATAGAAAGAAATAGTTTGGTCAGGGTCACATGTGTATGCTAGCTGTGCTAGCAAGTTCCAGAGTCATATTTTTCTTGATTATTCATTCATGTAATCAATATTAAGTATCTACCCTGTGACAAGCACTGTTCTAGAAACCAGTGAAACTGTGGTGAAGCAAATAAGGTCCCAGCCCTCCTGGAGCATAGGTTGTGGTGGAGGAGGCACACAATGAATAGATCAATTAAAATATGTCCTGGCAGGATAGGGGGTAGAGCACTGGATGGGGTTAATGGAACTGCTTTGGATTAAATGATGGGTCATAGTAGGTCCTCTAAGGAGGTGGCATTTGAATTGAGGAAATGAGCTGTGTGACAGTTGGGGAGGGAACGGCAAGTGCAAAAGCAGATGAGCATGGAGTTTTTGAGGGGTGAGATGAGTGAGGAAGTGAAGAAGAAATCAGAGAAGTCATGGTTTCGGGCCACCCACGCCACCGCCAACTGCAACGAATGGGATTTATTCCACTGTAAGGACAGCCATTAGGGGATTTTGAGCAAAGGAGTAACAGGAGCTGATGTGTGTTTGTAAAGATCATTCTAATTGCTGAGAAGATCATTCTGACTGGCTGGATTTGAATCAGATTTATCTGCCACCAGAACTCAATCTTAATTGTTATGCCAAGAAGTACAGCTAGGGAATGGCAGCTGTCGTGAGGGAAGGTTCAGAAGAAAGGGAGGCTACATCTGTTTGGACTTCTCAGGGAAATCCAGATTGGTCTGTGCCTGGAACTTAGAGAGTATTTGGGGAATGAGCGGGGATAATGCTGAAAAGTGAGATTGGACCATTTCTTGGTGGCCTTCTAACCAGACTGAGGAGAGTCATCATTCTCTAGTAGACAGTGGGGAGACACTGAAGCTTCTAGGCCAGTGAAAGGCGTGCTGATAGAGTGTCTATGGTATGCGAGGTGAGAGGACTGTCACTGCTTACTGAATTGACTAAAGAGACTAGTCAGATGCCAGAGTAGTCCAGGTGAAAATTAATGAGAGTCATCCCTCCACTCTCACTCCATGGGACTATAAAGAAGGAAAGGGGCCTGAGAAACACGGGTGGCAGAATAGATTGTATTGGTGGGGCACAGATGAGAGGAAGGGAAAGGCCAGAACCAAGATGACTAAGTTTTTAGGCTGAGTGACAAGAGCATTTTCTGGCCACATGGAATTGTTTAAAATGCATGAATGTGTAAAAATAGAAATAGGCTCACTATTAAAAAAAAAGAAAACATTAATTCAGTATTTGATAATTTTGTGATTCATCAGTTGTTTAGGGTGCTTTCTAAGTATTGCATGGATATCAAGACAGATCCATTTAAGAAGCAGAAACAAAAAAGATGAGTCTCACAAATAATGGGAAGAAAAAGAAACACGCCCCAGTCAAAGGGAAAGGAGGAATCCCCAGAAAGAAAACTAAATGAAATAGAGGAAAGTCAACTATCAGATACTGAGATCCGAACAATGGTTCTAAGGAAGCTCAATGAGCTCAGTGAGCTCAGAGAGAATTATCAAAAACTACAAGGAAACTATGAGGAACATACTGAAAACTAAATCAGCATGAAAAAGGACAGAGAAACTATCAATAAGAAACAAGAGGAAATGAAGAATACAGTTTTTGAATTGAAGAACACAGTAGAAGGAATCAAAAGCAGGCTCTATGAAGCTGAGGATCAAGTCAGCGAGCTGGAGGATAAGGTGGAAAAAAGCTCCCAGAAAGAGCAAGAAAATGAAAAAAGACTCAAAAAGAATGAAGAGGCATTTAGGGAAATGCAGGACAATCTGAAACATAATAATATCCATATTATAGGGATACCAGATGGGGAGAGGAGGAGGAAGGGATAGAGAACCTGTTTGAAAAAGTAACGATGGGAAACTTCCCTAATTGGAGGAGAGAAAAAGTCACACAAGTCCAGGAAGCACAGAGGGTCCCATTGAAGAGGAACCCAATGAGGCCCACTCCAAGATACATCATACTTAAAATGGCAAATAGCAAAGACAAGCAGAGAATCCTAAAGGAAGAAAGGGAGAAAGAGGTAGTAACATATAAGGGACCCCCAATATGGCTAGCAGTTGACTTCTCAACAGAAACACTACAAGCCAGAAGGGAACAGCAAGAAATATTCCAAGGAATGAAAAGCAAAGGCCTACAACCAAGGCTGCTCTACCCAGCAAGGCTCTCAATTAAAATGGAAGGCAAAATGAGGCGTTTCCCAGACAAAAGAAGGCTAAAAGTATACGCCTCCACTAACCTATCCACCAAAAATGCAAACTACATTTTTGCAAAATGTGCTAAAGGGACTGCTTTAAGAAGATGAATAAAAGGAGTGTATGAATACCCAGTTCCTTTCACAGTCACCAATACTTGATATTACCAGTATTATTAATGCTTACTAATCTGATCGTGACAATGATGTTATTTTAATTGTTACTTTATTATTTGTTGAAACTAAACCTGGTTTTGTATATTTCTTGCCTATTTCTATTATTTTTCAAAAGCTTTAAATGACTTTTTGGTATTCTTTTTACATTTTTGATTAAATGTTTATAGAATATTTTACCTTAAAAAAAAAACAGTTAACCCTTTTTTAGATGTGTAACAAATACTTTCCTATTCTATTACTTGTCCTTTACCTTTTTTTATATGTATTTGCTATGTAGTCTTAAATGTTTAATATAGTCATATTGTCAATATTTTACTTTATAGCTTCTGGGTTTGAATATGTTACTTCAGGGTAAGAAAAATATTGTTTTGTATTTTCTCCTTAAACTCCTTAGATTTTACATACTGATTTTAACTCACCTAAATATTTTTGTATACTATGTGAATAGGGCTCCATATTTGTTTTATTTCAAGTAATAGTAGTTCATGCACCTTATTTGTTGAATAATCCTTATTTTTCCCCATAGATTTGAGATATCAATTTAATCATATATCACAATGTTAGGTAGATATATATGTTTGTTTCTAGAATGCTCATTTTATTTCATTGATCTACTTGATCATTTCTGTGCTGGTGTCATCAATTGCTGAGACTTTATAATGGATTTAATATTTTTAATATTTTATAATGGATCTTGACATTAAAAAAATAAGTAAATAAAATCAATCTGCATTTAAAAAAAAAAGAAAGAAGGAACTCCTACCTTTTGCGACAATATGGATGGAACTGGAGAAGGTTATGCTAAGTGAAATAAGCCAGTTAGTGAAAGACAAATACCATATGACCTCACCTATAAGCGAAATCTATTCAACAAAATAAACTAATGAACAAAATAAACCTCAGGCATGGAAACATGGAGCAGACTGAAAGTGACCAGAGGGGATGGGAAAGGAGGACAATGATGGAAAGAAGGGGAAGGGACTAGGCAAAGAACATGTATGAATGACCCATGGACATGGACAACAGAGTGGGAATTGACTGTGGGAGCAGGGGTTGGGGGTGGGATGGGTAGAGGAGGGCAAAGGGGGAAAAATTGAGACAACTATAAAGAATAAACATTTAAAAATTAAAATTAAAATTAAAAGAATAAAATCATGCTATCTGTGACAATATTGATGGACTCAAAGGGTATTATGCAAAAAAAAAGAAAAAAGAAAAAAGAAATTACATGAACATTTTTAAAATGAGCTTAGTAGTTCCCATTACAAACATGGCTCATACTCTTTACATAAAATTTGGAAAATGTAGAGAAATGGCAAGCAGGAAATGCTTTTAATATCACCCCAAATTCTTTCTGTCAATAACTAGTGTTACAGTTGTTTCACTGCGAGTCAGTGTGTCTTCATAGCTGTTTGGTCCTCAGGGAGCTGAGTTTATTTCACTCCTTAGTTTATCTCTCCCTTCCATTTTTAGTCAGTGCAAAGCTCCTATTTTGGTTTTATCTTAATTTTTAGTATATATAGGAATGTTTCTCCCTAATCTATTTGTGGAAACATGTAAAAAGGCCATTGGAACTCTTCCTAAATAAGATCTATCGACTATGACATTTTTACATAATATTCATTCTCCTACTGAGCAGAAAGACTCAATACCATGGGAAAGGGTATTGCTCTGGTGTTAGAATAGCAATCTGCTCTCTCAGTGCTAACTGTGCATACAGAAAATGGAAGCCATTGCATGGCCAGTCCCCAAGGCCTTGAGGTCTATGGATCTCCTGTGTGAGAAAGACACACATTGATACACATATTTTTATTTGTGTGGGATAAAGTGTCCACCATGGAACTTAAATTCTATGACTGAGCATTGATGATGGTATCACCTTTTGACGTTGGCTTTGTGGACTGGATGAAGGTTTAAGCTGTATGAACCCACACACCAGATTTCCCATCCCTGACCCCTGGCAACATATAGTATACGTCACGCTATTTTTATGTGCATTGTACAAACCTCTGTAAACACATTGTCTTCTTTTTATTTCCTTGCAGGAAGTTCAGAAAAAAGTGTCTCTTTTTAATCTGCAAATGGACTTAAGTGGGTTAATTCCTGGTTTAGTGTCCACGTTCATGCTTCTGTCCCTCAGTGATCACTATGGACGAAAATTCCCTTTGATTTTGACTTCTGCCGGTGCTCTTGCAACCAGCATCTGGCTCTGTTTGCTTTCCTATTTTGCCTTTCCATTCCAGCTTTTGATTGCATCTACCTTCATTGGGGCCCTTTGTGGCAATACTACCACATTTTTGGGTGCCTGTTTTGCCTATATAGTTGATCAATGTAAAGAAGAGAAACAAAGAACAATTCGAATAGCTATTATTGACTTCATACTTGGACTTGTTACTGGATTAACAGGACTGTCTTCTGGCTATTTTATTAGAGAATTAGGTTTTGAGTGGTCCTTTTTCATTATTACTATGGTTCTTTCTGTTAACTTGATTTATATTTTATTTTTTCTTGGTGATTCAGTGGAAGAGCCTTCATCTCAGATTGTTTCCATATCATGTTGTGAAGGCTTTAAAAACCTATTTTACCAAACTTATATGCTTTTTAAAAGTGCTTCCAGTGAGCGACGGTCCTTGCTCTGTTTGTTACTTTTCACAACAATCACTTATTTTTTCGTGATAATTGGCATTTCTCCCATTTTTATCCTTTATGAATTGGATTCACCGCTTTGCTGGAATGAAGTTCTTATAGGTTATGGGTCAGCTTTGAGTAGTGTCTCTTTTTTGAGTAGTTTTCTAGGAATATGGTTTTTTTCTTACTGTATGGAAGATATCTACATGGCCCTCATTGGAGTTTTAACCACCATGGTGGGAATGGCTATGACTGCTTTTGCCAGAACAACATTGATGATGCTTTTAGGTGAGTTACAAATGTAGCCTTAGGATGAACTGTGGATGGGGTTTATATAAAATGAGTTTAGTCTGTTGGGTGAAAAATTTTAACATAAAATTTTCCCTTTAATGCATTCTAGTTCAATTAAAGGTAGTTTGTTAACAGCTAGTTTGCCAGAAGCTGAGCACCAGTTTGCTTTAAAAAGTAATTCATGTAATAACCATAGTTTTCCAAATTTACATATTATCCAGAAAATTGTTCTGAGGAACATTCTTCTTGTGAATCAGTTCTTCAATATAGCTTTCACCAAACTGAGTGTTTCTTAAAATGCTGCTAAGGCTACTTCCTGTAAAAAAAATTTTAAGACAGTTATATAAAGTATACTGTACAAATTTGGGAGAAAAGTTCATACTCAGTGAATACATTTAAGAATTGTTTATGGTAAATTGGCCATTTCATAACTTAGCTTTTGATAAATCACTTTTTGGCAAATCGGACTGCTTCCTTAACTACCTACCTCTTAAGTGGTTTTTGTAGGGCTTGAGTAAGAGATACTGCATTCAAAAGGGCTAAGGGACCTGCAAATTAGGACCTTGGTGAAGGTCCAATGTAGCCTTTCTCTACAAAAGCAGTGTCAACCTCTTGCTACCTTGCAGGGAAGCAGGGTGACCAAACCTAATGGGGCTTAATTTCCATCTCCAGCACTGGATGACCTTGGGCAGGTTAATTAAATACTCTGAGCCCTTGTTTTTTTATCTGTAAAATGTGCATAGTACTACCTAATTCAAAAGGTTATAATGAATATTAGAAGAGAGTACTGTGAAGCACTTAGCACAATAAATGCTAGTCCTCCCTTACAGTTGCCAAGGCCAATTAAGTTAATCTATGTGGAAACATGTTGAAAACTTCTAACATATTACTATTTTTTTCATATTTCTAAAAATGCTACTGACTATTAAGGGTCATAATTTATGACCAGGTGCAATTTTTATTCATAAGTTATTTAGCCACAATCGAAGCAAGAAGATAAAGAACCAATTTATCAAAAAAAAAAAAAAAGAAAGAAAAGAAACAACATAATGAAAGAATGCTAACACTAAAAATGTCAAGTCCGAAAAATCAAAAACAAGAACACACAGAAAAAAACGGCACAAGCGGTTACTACAATAATTAGGAAAATATCTGATCAATCTCAGTTGGCAGATCTGGACCTAAAACCTCCATTAACTCTTGTTTTAGTACTGGAATTAAGAATACAAGAGTAAACTAGCTTTAAACTGACCTGTCTAGAGTCTATCTTAATTCATTTACTAGAATTCTACAAATCATTCAATTTTTAGATGCCATCACTTAGGATGCTTATAGAAATTAAATATTTAGAGAGAAAGCCTTTTACATTTAAAATTGTTAGTTTCCTGACTTCCAACCGTCTCTTACAGTCAGGCTGCCCTTCCTCTTCACTATTGTGCCACTCTCTGTTCTGCGGTCCATGATGTCAAAAGTGGTTCGTTCTACTGAACAAGGTGAGCTTAATTTGCTTAAGGACTATAATGAATCTACAACCTATACCAACTCAAATCTGTGTATGACCAATGTTTGCTTTTTCAGAGTCTTCTACAGCCTTTTTTCTGCACAGACTCCTTTCAAAGTAAGTGGTCCGTTCTGTGCTGGGGAGAGGTTTGTATTCGGACAAGGGAGCCCCTGCCCAGGGCCTCATGCTTTAGAAGGCTTGCTCTGGCCAGGCCCTGCCCCAAGAGGAGAGGAGACCTCAGGGCCAGGCAGATATGCCCTCCAGGAGCCCACAGCACCGCTGCTGTTCTAGACTATCCCATAATTCCCAGCGAAACAACTCAACTCTGGGCTCGTGTCCAATGATGCCGGCATGGTCCTCTTCCTCAGATCCTTTCTCTAGAAGGAGGACTATGACCCCAGTGTGCTCACCTCTAGACCAGAGGGGTAGCCAAGCGGTGACTCCTTACAGGAGACCTGGCCTAGCCTTGGAATTACAGAGCAGGGTGTCCACAGCCATGTGTGAAGGGCCCTTTCTGAGCAGAATGGAGCAAGAGGGAGGACACATGTGAGGCTGCAGCCTGCAGCTGGAGACAGAGGGCCAGTGCTGTCAGGTTCCTACATGGGATTCTAAAAATCTGAGAATTCTAAATTCATGTCTGACCTTCCAAATCATTACAAAGGTATATTTCTCAGAGTAGGGAGATAGAGCATATCTTAGTTAACAGTTTGTTAGAAATATAACTTTTAAATATTTGGAACACAACATGTAGTCCTCTAACTGTATTCTTATGCTGAACCTGATTCAGAGTCCTGGCAAAAGCAGGACCCCACTCAAATGGTTCAATAAAGAGATGTTAATGAAGGCCATTAGAGAGGAGTGTGCAGTGTAGAGGCACCCAGACAGGATGGCCCATAAAGGGAGGGAGCAGAGAAGAAACACCACAACCTCTCTTTCCTCTTTCATCCCATTGACCAAGTGCAATAGGAAGTCAGGCCGTGAAGGAAGTCCAGGTCATGTAATTTGTGGGGTGAGCCTCCTAAGCACAGAACAGGGCAAGAAGAGAATACAGTTCAAGGGAGGACAGTGAATAATCAGCACAAAAAAAATGAGAAATTTCTAGTAGAACTAGTTAAATATCAGGCATATGGAGTTGTCCTCCTTCCCTTTTTTTCATCTGAATGTTACTGGAGTTTGGAGCTTTCTTTTGTTTCCTGTCTTAGGTTGGTGCAAATGTTCATATTGTTTATGAATAACTCATAGTTAGGCTTTTCTATTTATGTAAGTTTAGTCAACACTGGCAAACACTGCATAATTCAATAAATTAAAAATATATTTCTTGATTCTTTTCCACTCATAAGGTGTAGCTATATATTTACACAGCTGTTTATAGATTATGTGATGGTAATTGGAAAACCAGTTAGGAATATAAAAATTTGTAAGTATAATACATAAAAACCTACTTGCTTCCTTGAATCATGCAGTGGTTATGACACCAAAAGCACAATAAAATAAAAAATAGTTAAATTAGACTTTATTCAAATTAAAAACTTTTGTCCACCATCAAGAAAATGAGAAGACAACCCATAGAATGGGAGAATGTATTTGCAAATCACATATTTTGATAAGAAGCTTGTATCCAGAATATATAAGAATTCATAAAACTTATTCATAAGTTTTTATTCATAAAACAACAGCAAAAAGACAACTGAAAAATGGGCAAAGTATTTGAATAGATATTTCTCCATTTGTTTTCTACAAATGTCCAGGAAACACATGGGGAAAAAAAATGCTCAACATCATTAGGCATCAAGGAAATGGAAACCAAAGAAATCAACAGAGACAAGAGGGAGGGGAGGGGGCGGGGAAAAGGAAGGGAAGGGGAAAGTCAAGGAACATATAGCAAGGACTCATGGACAAAACCAAAGGGGAAGAGCTGAGGGAGGGAAGGAGAGAGGGGGCAAGGGAAAGTGGTGGGGGGAGGCAGAGACAAATGTATTTGAAAAAGTAAATTAAAATAAAATTAAAAAAAAAAAGAAATAGACCAACCAAAAAAAAGAAAGAAAGAAAGATGGTGTTGGTGAAGATGTGGAGAAACTGGAACCCTCATACACAGCTGGTGGGAGGATATAGCCATTTTGCAAAAACAGTTTGGTAGCTCCTCAGAAAGTTAAATAATTACCTTATGACTCAACAATTCCATTCCTAGGTATGTACCCAAGAGAAATGAAAACACATCTACACAAAATTGTGTACATAGATGTTCACAGCAGCATTATTTATAATAGCCCAAAAGTAAGAACAGTGCAAATGTTTGTGACCTGATGAATGAATAAACAAATGTGGTATATCTGTCCAATGGAATATTATTTGGCAATAAAAAAATAAAGTACTGACACATGCTACGACATGAACCTTGAAATCATTATGCTAAATGAAGGAAGCTAGTCACAAAAGGCCACATATTATTATATAAATATGATTCCATTTATATGAAATGTTCAAAGAAGGCAAATCAATAGAGACAGAAATTAGAGTAGTGTTTTCCAGGGGATGGGGAGAAAGGGAGTGGTTGCTAATGGGTACAGTTTCTTTTTGGGGTGATGGAAATGTTCTAAAATTAGTAGCAATGGTTGCCTAACTGTGAACATACTAAGAGCCAGTGAACTGTACAGTTTGAAAGGGTGAATTTTATGGTATGTGAATTATAATTCAGTCTGTTCGGGGAAAAAAGAAAAATCTATCTGTTTGACTTAGAACAAAAATAGACTTGTCAGGATGCATAGTTTATATTTGTTCACATTTTATTTATTTATAAAGGCTTTCAAAAAGTCATTTTATATTGTTAAATGCAGTGACATTTAAAAATGTTTAACTTACATTTTAGAATTTCCTATTCTGAATTGTGGCAACTTTTAGCTTTATCCTGTTGTCATTGGAACTACTCTGCATTGTTGTAGTCCACTGTATATAAGGGACTTGAGCATCTGCAGATGTGGGTATCTGCGGGAGCCCTGGACCCAAAGGTCTGCGGGTACCAAAGAATAACTGCAGTGTTCAACTGCAGGGGGAGGGGAAGTCAGTGCCCTTCATCCCCACATTGTTCAAGCCAACTGTATTGTGTTGTCAGCATCTCTCACATCAAGTCCAACGACAACTCTTCACCTCGGTTTCTTTGCCCACAGAGTGGGTAACCGACTTCTCAGGGATTTTGAAGGAATAGCTTTCTCTCACCAAGCTGTGCCCCCATGCTTATTCTTTTCAATGAATAACGGTTTTCTGTTTGTTTTTGTTTGTTGTCGTGTAACTCAGCCTTTTCTTTTTCTCCCCTTATACCTCAACCCCAAATAGGGACCCTGTTCGCATGTATTGCTTTCTTAGAAACACTTGGTGGAGTCACTGCAGTTTCTACTTTTAATGGAATTTATTCAGCAACTGTTGCATGGTACCCAGGCTTCACCTTTCTGCTGTCTGCTGGTCTATTAATAATTCCTGTGATCAGTCTATGGTATGTACTCAGTTTTAATCATTTTGTGAAAAGATAGCTGAATTAAATGAATTTCCTAACCTCACCAATAAAATTGCATAGATCTGTTGAAGTTTGGCCTCAGAAGGTACTTTTCTCAAGAAATTTGGACATGAAGACATCTTTCAATAATTTTGGAGACTTTGGAAAAAAGGCAGTGACATGGCTGACCAGAACTAGGAGGAAGAGAGGTTGCGTCAGATGGAGACTCTGCGAAGTTGCCCCTGTCTCTTTAAATATGAATAATTGATTAGATTAGCATTGAAAGCCCTGGATCAGTATCTCTGTTGTTTGGAGCATTGCCCGGTGCATCAAAGGGTTGTGGGTTCAATCCCCAGTCGGGGTGCATATGGAAGGCAACAAATCAATGTTTCTCTCTCACATCTCTTTCTCTCCCCCCACCCATTCCTCTCTCTCTAAAATCAATAAATATATTCTTGGGTGAGGATTTAAAAAATTAAATAAATAAAATTAGCATCTAAGATATAAATATTATATATTTATATGTTTATATTTATATATTGAATATATATATTTTCAAACTATGGTTTCCTAAAGTGTAATATCCCCTGATGGTCAAAACTACTATAAGAAGATATACTTTGATCTGGATTCTTGGATGAATGACAAGAGCAGATAGCAGGCAGTGACTATTAGGAATTCTCTTTCCAGAGAGTTGGCTTGTTTAGTGACTCCCTTTTTAATTGTCAGTATCCAAATAAATACAAAATACAAAATGCTTTTGATAAATAGTACATAGAATGAAAAGATAGAGTAGAAGCATAAACATGAGAGAAATGTTTATTTCTCCCTTTGCCTTTCAATTAACAAAAAGCGTAAGTTATTAGGTAAGTGATTGCTAAAGTGCCCAAGCAGATATATTTGACACATTCTTGGAGCCAAAGCCTTGAGCTGAGACTCATTCCCCTGTCTCCGCTGGCCTTGGCCCATTCCATGTAGTGAGAGCACAGCCCTGATGCCTCGGGAGAAGGTGGGCGCGGTCTTCAGGCGGTCTTCAGGTGGCCTTCCCCTCAGCACCGAGGGAGGTGGCTGTGGGTATGGGAGGACAGCGGCTGCGTGCACAGGCTGTAGGCATTCTCCCAGGACTGTGAACTCCTCAGAGGGTTGGCCCATGTCTCATTTATAGTGGGATCTCAGTACCTATTATCTGAATTGAATTCTGATACCTTGGTCTATGTAAGACAGAGTGCAATAATATGTATAGTTCCTCTGTAGTTTTTATGAAAAGTGATTTTTACTAGGCATCTTTTCAAAAAAGAGAGTATTCACCTATTGGATTGGTAAAATTAAAAGTACATGCTCTCCTACTGAGCACATGATCAGACAATCAACCTTGTATATTGCTGGTAGTAGTGTTGTTCGGCACTCTCATTTCAGAAAACAACTCATAATCATGTATGAAAGGCTTTTTAAAAGTTCATAGTATTTGACCCTGACTCCTTTTAAAAATCTATCCTAATGTCAAGATTTATATATAAAGAAGTTGCTTACAGTAAAAATGTTTTAAATGACCAAAATGTCCAACAATGGTTAAATAAAATGCTGCATCAATATCATGAAAAATGACTTTAATAAGAATTGCCTACACAGGGAGTAGAATAATGGGTACTTTTGATTTTTGTCTTCAGATACTTATAAATATTCTGTGGTGAACACATTACTTTTATAACTGGAAAAATTAGTGCAGCTGGATAAAAGGTAGTTATCCTTTTAATAATGTTTCTAATGTTGTAAATGTAGTTGGCCTTCTGAGATTTTTTAACCCTGAAATGTTCAATATTTTAAAAATTAAAATTACATGCTATTTTAATTATTTCCAGATAGCTTCTTGTCCTAGTTTCCATTATAGCTGGTGAACATGAATTTCAGTCATAGCTCTAGCCATAAATATTTTTTGTGGGCCACACAGAGTAGACAGTGGGCCAAATGAATGTTTTAGGGATCTGGAAGAAAAAGAATTCGTGTAGTTTTTAAATTCTTTTCAGAATGCTAGGGCTAATGAGCCTGTTGGACTCAAAATATCAGTATGTTCCTTCTATGCATAATCTGCATAATTTATCACAAGCCATGTATCTAGGAAAAGGTGGAGTACAGAATGCTTATTTTTGTGTTGCCTTAGTCATAATTTTAAAATGTTCTATTTGCTCATACAGTGTTGTCAAGTGCAGAAGCTGGGACAAGAGAAGCAATACACTTCTTATCCAAGAAGAATCCAGTGAAGACACTTCGGATTCATGATTATGATTATAAAACAATGCATACACCATGTTCTCCAACTTCTGAGACATGCAGCCTAGCTCCACAATCAATACTTCAGGAACAATCGGTGTTACATGTCCTTCCTTTTAGACGGAACAGCAAGAGAAGGAGCCCGGCCACAGCTCCTGCGGACCGTGCACTTCGAGCACTGTGAATACTGTGTGATGTGTTTCTGGTACGGAGAACAAATCTCAAAATGCTTCACCCTTTTGGATTTACGAGAAAACCCCTGAAACTTAACAGCAGGAGGGATTAGGACATGATACAATCAAATCTGATAACTTCCCCGGCATATTCCAGTCTCTCACACTGAGACCAAGGAGAATGCTTTACCTCAGTTTCTCCTGTAAAATGAGTTTCTGACCTCTCTCCAGGATTTTGAAGGACAACCGTCAAAAATTAGGATGAATCATTCACCAATAGAAAATAATATAATTTTCAAATATTTATCATTTACGTCTTCTTAGGTTATGCTTTGTTTTATAGAACCCATCAAGGTGCTATTGATAATGAAAGCTTTTAATGAGAAATGCTTAAAACAGAAGCACATTAAAGAATATGTATTTTCACTTTTCCTGATGTGTTTCATCAGTGAGAGCCATGACAATATTTCTACATGTATCAAAGGGGTAAATGGAAAAAAATCAGATTATAAATAAAACTTTCTATAGAAATGTGAAAACTGAGTAAACTGCCAGTTGAGAAGTTAAGTAAGATTATAGCACCAATACTCATTTCTTATTCTGTCAAAGGGTATCCATTTCTTACTGCCTTACACCCATCCTTGGATCTATACCGGTCCCTACAGACACCACATTCTTTCATCTTTTTACACACTGTCCATTTGCCCTTCCTTCGCGGTGACGTCGGAACTTCTGAGTCTCAACCAAAATGTTGCTCCCTCTGTGTAGCATTGACATTTGTCTCTGCTCCTACACTGCCGCCCGCCACTGTCCCTGCAGAAGCCTCAGCTGTGTGTCTCCTTCTATCCTAGCATTTTCTATGGCTTTGTAATGTTTATTTCCCCTACTGCACAAGGGACACCTTAAGGAGAGAGACAATCTGATTCTTCATTATATCCTCCATAGGTGTTTGTTGAATCAAATACAAAATTTTGTTTTTACTTGTAAAAATAATTTAAAGCTATATAGTTAAGGCATCAGGAGAGTAACAACTGCTATGCTATACTCGTCAAGCCAGCCTTGCAAATAAATTGTAAAGTATGGTAGCCCATATGTTTTTTAAATTGGTTGATAGTATTTTCACATGTCCTTCCATAGCTGATTAACTTCTTTGTAATCTCTTGAAAGCAGATAGCATGGTTTATGGCTTTTTCCTACAGGGAAATCAGTGATTGCTAAACTAGCAGACAGCACTCATTTAAAATACTAGCAGTTCTTATTTCCAAGACCATTCCTTTTAGGTTTGGGAGCCCATGTGGGAACCGAGTGATAGTCAGATTTATTTATTTTTGTTTTCCTTCCTGTTTGGGCAATGCTCTTCCCAAACCAAAAGAACAAGTACCTTCCTATTTACAAAGTGCATTCTGTATCAATAATTTTATCCTCTTCATAACCCTGTAGCGTAGAGCTGCTTTTCCCTTTTTACAGACGAGTAGGGTAAGTCCCAGAGATGTGACTTGACGACTAAGCAGTAGCACTGCACAGGGAGGGACTTGGCCCTGCTGAGGTTTTTCATAGCTAGGTAGACACCTGGAAGGTGATAAATCCAACGTCAAGAGTTGTGTCAGGTAGAGTATGAGGTGGCCCCCTAAAAAAACTCCACTAGCATGATCTGTACCTAACTAAACTGCCTACAATATTGCCCTTTTGAGGTTAGACAAGATGGCCTGTAAAAAAACTCCTTTCCAGCTCAGCCTTGTGTGATTTTGCACATTTCTAAACTGAAGAGAACACAGCTTATACTGTTAATACATTGAAGGATTGACAGATGACTTTCAGTTGAGTGTAAAACTACCTGAGATGTAGTAAAGTCTATCAGGGGACAGGACTGAGGTGCCCGGGGTCAAAATAGAACCTGCATGAGCTTAGCCATCTCCAAAGTGACTATCCAGAGAGATGATTAGTGAATGTGGTACTGAAGAGACCAGGGAAACATACCAGTTGATGGGGGTATACAGTCACGACAGAGCGGCGCGGGTGGGGGAGGCAGTTACCATCTAATCTCCTATAATGTAACCTGGTTATGTGATTATCAGAAGAAAGAATATTAATGGAATGACTGGTTCTTATGAAATCCATAAAAAGAGAAAAAGGAAAAACATGTTCCTTTTTATGCAGCACTGTACAGGGGGGTTAGATATATCTAATAAAAATGAATATTGTCATCGCTAGAGAGGGTATATATCTACATGGCTTGCGCTTTTCAAAGGATCATGGGAGCCTGCATTGCACTGCCTCAAAAAATCCCTTTTCTCCTCTGCTGCACTCACTAAATAATCCTCTGGTTAATCAATATCCAAAACTCGTGCTAATAAGGGTAGACTGCCCTGGGCTCAGTCCTCTTTTAAAAAAAAAAAAAAATGTCTGAATATCAGAATCACCTGAGGAACTTAAAAAAGTCCCTGGAGATTCTAAGTCAGTCTAGAGTGGGGTCTTGGAAGATAGTTTAAAAACCTCCCCAGGTGACAAATAAATATGCATTCAGATGTGGACCCTACTGCCCTAGATGAGTGCCTGTCAGCCCTAAGTACACATAAGAATAATTACAGTGGAGTGGAAAGTAAAACAAACACAAATACAAAGCCAGAGGTTCTCAGTCTTGGCTGCTAGGTCCCAGTCCAGGCCAACCAGGTAAGGATTTCTCGGAGCAGGAGACAGACATTTTTTTTCCAAATGTTTTCCAGGTGATGCAGTATGTGGCCAGGGTTGAAAATCACTACTTTAGATGAGGGGCCAGAGAGTAAGCATTTTAGGCTTTGTGGATCAGCTCACACAGTCTGGCACAACTAATTAACTGCCATCATAGCACAAAGCAACCATAGAACAAAGGAAAAAACCCCACATAATTATATCAACAAATGAAATAAATATTTAACAAAATTCAACATTCACTCATGATAAAAATTCTCAAAAGAGCAGGATCAACCTTATAAAAGGCATCTATAAAAATAATCAACAACAAAAATACCATACAGCTAACATGATACTTAGTAAAAAGACTAGATGTTTTTATTTCTAAAATTAAGAATAAGGCAGGATATCCACTGATTATATGTAAATGATACATCATAGCCTTTAATTTAAAAGGCGATATTGTTGTTTGAAGCCAGCACTAATATATGTTTAAGGCCTTTAATAAAGGTATAGTTACCTAGCTTGTCTTGGGAAAAACATAGGTGATCAGTTAATAGGAATTTACATAGGCAAGACGCCCAATCCAAAGTTCCTGTGTTTGAAGGTATTTTATTTCTTTCCTTTACAGCAGTGGTTCTGAGTGTTGCTCCTGGATTAGTAGCATCACCAACAGTGAGGACGGTGTTAGAAATGCAAATTTTCAGGTTTGACTCAAACCTGGTGCATCACAAACTCTGGGGATGGGGCTCTGCAACCTGTCTTTAAAACCCTCCCATGATTCTGGTGCACAATAAAGTCAGAACCACTGCTCTACATATGCTAAGACTTGTGGCATCTTGGCTTCACTTAGTGTAGGCCTGTGTTGAATCCAGTTTTGCAAACTATTAAAGCCACATTCAGCTTCTTGAGTTCAATGACTCTAGAATTACTTTGTGTAAGGGCATCATATTCATATTCTAAAAGTGCATTCAAAATCTGTTCCTTCACATGTTCCTGAAGTTCTGGGAGATAAAAATTGACAAAGTCCTCAAATTCTTTCTACATGTTTGATTTCTTTGGATTTGGTCTCCAGGGCAGACATGCTGGGCTCTTCACATTAACAGGGTTTGGAAATAAAGGGAGCAGTGGTGAGAGAGGAACTGGCTTTCTCTGGTAAACTTGACCCTCTCAGGTGAAAAAAGTCTTTAGAGGGGAAAAAAACCCAGCCTCTTCTGAGTGAAAAAAACTGCTTCCTTTTGCAACCATATTCCCACTTAATTCAATCCTCAGGGTCCTAATCAGTGTTCCAATTTTCATACATTGTTTCTGCTGGGACAGGGTCTTCAATAGCGGTACTATAATTCTGGAGGCTCAGATTTGATTTTGCAGAGTACTATTATCTGTAAGAAATGACATTCTTTAGGCTTCTATAGGTTGGTTTAAGGATTTGAACTCGTTATTTACTGGCCTTAAGGTAGAAGCAGCCACCCCACCATTCCGACATTTTCATATCCTCATTGCTCAGACCCTTTCTATGAATTGGGCATGTGATTTCATGTGACCAGGTGGGAGAGCTGTTTTACAGTTGCCTGCCAAGGACAGCTAGCTTTCCCACCTGGTTTCATTGCCTGGCCTACCTCAGTCAAATAACTAATCCTGGATTCCCACGATTCTCTGGGGATGTGTTCCCTCTAACACCAATTGTCAGACGCCAATTACCGTTATCATTCAGAGATCCTGACTGCAAGCACTGATTCAAACAAAACAGCTGAAAAAAAAAAAACAAAGACACTTATTGGACCATCAGAAATCTGAATATTGACTGGACATTTAACTCTAAGGAATTATTAAGGTAGGCATGATAATATTACTGTGGTTATGTTAGTTTTGTAAACTGAAATATTTACACATAGAAATAATATCTGTATTTCCTTTCAATATAATATTGACGGGGAAGTGGATGAAAATTGTAGATGAAATAAGATCGGCTATGAGTAAATTCTGGGAGGTAAAAGAACATGAGACTATATTGAATATCTCTACCTGCTTTTAGATGTTTGACACTTTCCATAATTAAAAGTTTAAACAGAACAATGTGCCACTCTTGTGCCTTTTCAGTTCCCTTTGTCTTCTCTTAAATTTTCATAATAGGGTTCCTGTTTGTAAGCCACAGCGAGAAATGGAGCAAGGCTATGACTGCCCTTGTCCTTGCCTGTCCTGATCACTGACTTTCTCATGCTATTGGACAAAACATCAGTAGTATTAAGGTCCGTAGCGCTTCCCCTATGGCTAACCTAGTGTTTCTTTGGTGATAATATCTCTGGTAACTATAATTATGATACCTATGATAACTAAAGTATCATAAGTATATTCAATATTCTGTGAAATAGCATTAATTTTTAGCATTAATACAATTAATGCCAAAAGTTAAATTCAGCACTTTAACCCCAAGTAATTTTATTTTCAAATCAAAGGCCTATGTATTCATTGAAACAACTAGGTTTAGGGTATCAAAAAGAGCAAGGACAGATGTGCATTATAAAACATTAAGAATTTATGAATGCATAAGATATCTTTAAAGAAAAGAAATGGGGGAAACCTGGCTTTACAAAAACTTGTCATCCAATAAACATGGAAGAAATAATGAAATATCACATTTTTTTAAGCCTTCTCCTGTTACCAACAACCATGTTATAAAAGATTGAAGTGAAGATTTTTCATGGATGCTAAAACTTCTGGGTGAAAGGTTCTTGGGGAACAGGACATACACATGGTCTCAAACTACTTCGCAGATTACATACTAATTACAAAAGGGAAACTGTACTTTAAAATGGAGAGCTCTGGCAGCCACCACCCATTAACCAAGTGATACACTTAGCAACACCAAGGAATGGGACATACCTGTGGCTCCTGCTGCGCTGCAGTGAGAGGTCCATGTCACAACCTCTATGGACTTCTTGCCAAAAATATGAATCTGAATCAACTCAGGAGGAAATTAGATAAGACGTTGATAATTGGTGAGTCTACATGAAGGTTATTTTGGGTGTTCTTTGTATTGTTTGTTCAGTTTTTGAAATTTCAAAATAGAAGTTGGTGAAAATATAATGTGGTTTTGTTTTACAAAATTTCTACGTAATACAATAAAGGGTGGGTTAAATCTTGAGTGAAAATCAATCCATCTGTCCAAAAGTAAGCCTAGCCAAAGTTAAAGCAGAATTCCACATGGTCCTTCAATGACCCAAAGCCATACATACTCTCTACATGACCTCTATTTCGTCACAGAGATGAACATAGCCTTTCCTGTCTCCACAAAGTCAAGACACTAAACAGACAGAGTACAACTGACAAAGCACTTCTACTGGCTCCAGAAATAAATTCAAGATCTGGAAGCAACCTCTATATTTTCAAAACTTGATATTTTATCTTTAAAAGAAAAAAAAAAACATTTTAAAGTTCTATTTTTTTTTTTCAGTTGGAGAGAAAAATCTGCTGAAATTCTAGTAGGAAAGAAAAACTTACAGCACATTCTCATTCTTTTTCAAAAAGATTTTATTTATTTTTGGAGAAAAGGGAAGGAAGGGATAAAGAGAGGGAGAGAAACATTGATCGGTTGCCTCTTACACATGCTCTGAATAGGGATCACACTCAAAACCCAGGCATATGCCCTGACTAGGAATTGAACCAGCAGCCTTTCAGTTTAGGGGGCAAATCCCAAACAACTGGGCCACACTGGTCAGGGCTATTCTCACTCTTTAATATGATTTAAGGATCTATAAGACAAACTAAAAGTACAGATTCTTAATTAAGCATTTGTTGTATGTGAAGGAACCTGGATTTCAGTTTTGAAATCAGGAGCTAAATACATCCAATGAAGGGTCACGGCATTTTTGGTTTAGCTTTAATGAAAGAACAAGTCAAAATTTATACTTAGATTTCATGTGTTTGAAGAAAAATTTTTTAATCAATTGTAGATTTCAGTATAACATCATACACTACAAGGTCTTTCCATTTTTTCAAAGTAATCTACTTGTTCGGGTCATCTTTCACATTCTTGAATGTCTGTATCAAAGGAATAACAAAATACAGGAACACTTGATCATACTTAGGTGCACTCCTGAAAGAGGGTAACACCTAGTGCAAAGGGCAAAGCTAATGAAAAACGATAAGCCTATATTTATATTTTGCACAGAAGGTAACTATGATGTGTTTAGTGGAAGAGCCACATGGTGTGCCAAACAGTACCATGCCACACCCCAAACATTTCCAGTCAATAAACCCACAGTTCTTTTATTCTCATGTACATTAAAAGGCTTAATTAATAATTAGGTTGCATCCTCATTATATTTCTGTCTCTTGCATTGTAAATTTTATCACCTTAGTATAAACTTTATCATCTCAGCCACCAACCGATAAAGTTCCTCTTGAATCCAAAGATTAGTATGGTACATGCAAAACAGAGACAGACTACACTAATTCTTCAATAAAATCATTGAAGCTAATAGGGAAAAAATGCCTAATTGAAGATTTGGCACATAGGCAAGTAACTCAGAGACTTACTTGCACCTGACTCTAAAGAGCCTGAATAATTCCCAACTCCTGTAGATTTGAAATTTTTCAAAATAAAAAGGTAAAAATATAGTTTATATTTTGCAAGATTTCTATGTAATATAAAAAAATTAATAGGGTAATCTAAGTCTTGATTTAAAATCAATCCATCTCCCCAAAAGTAAGCCTTGCCAAAGTCAAAGCGGAAATTCACCTGGAGCCCCAATAACCCAAAACAAACACTGTAGATTGCAGACATTAAGAACCATCAGTAAAATTTTTAGTACTGAGGTACACCAGAATTAACTGATGCTAAAGAATATATAAAGGTGAACTAATATAAAGGCAAAAAGCAAGCAAGCATATAAATCAAAGGTTCTCAGTGCTGGAGAGCTTTTCAAAAGTACATTTCCTGGGACCTACTTCAGAGTGGTCCTATTGGAAATTTTTTTTTATTATTTAATTTTTTATTTTATTTTTTTCCATTACCATTTATCCCTTCAGACCGACACCAAAATTTCTTCACAAGATTCCCAGGTGATTTTATGTTTCCAGGATGAGGATCACTGATAAGAGTTGGGAGAAAGTGAAAAAGGAGAGCGACAGGAAGCAAAAAGACCTTCAGCAAGTATAAGCTAATCATGACTACTCATTTCTGTTTAAAAGCATCAGTTTTTCCATTTAAACTGTCATTAATTTCATAGCACCCTCTACTGGTCAGGAAGGGTATCTACTATTCCCAGAACTAGGGAACATTTCCAACTTTAATAGTTGAAAGAGAGCATGTTTAGAAACAGTATCTTTATTATTTCTACATTTTCTCATAATTTAAGTATAAAACGGGTTGACAAATATTGTGTTGACAAATATGGTTTTAAACTTAATCTCAACAGTCAGGAACAGTTGAAATGTGTTATCTCAAGGTTTGTCAACCTTGACTACTGACATTTTGAACCAAATGATTGTTGGGTGCAAAAAGTTATGTAATATTCAATAGTAACAGTTTTTAAGACATAGAAGGCTATTGTTTCAATGTAAATTTGGTATATTTTATATTATCTTCCTTTAGTACTTTCAGTTCTTTACAATCAGGGGTGTCCAACTTGCAACCTGGAGGTCGCATGCATCTCAGGATGGCTGTGAATGCAGTCCAACACAAAATCATAAATTTACTTAAAACATTTATGAGGTATTTTTGTGATTACATGTCACAATGTATTTAATGTGCGGTCCAAGGCGACTCTTCTTCCAGTGCGGCACAGAGATGCCAAAAGGTTGGCCGCCCCTGCTTGACCTCTCCTACCCACTATATGCCTGTAGCACTCCCCCCAAACTGTGACAACCAAAAATATCTTCAAAACATTGTCAGATGTCCCCAATCCTCAGAAGGGAGGAGCAATATTGCCATCAGTTGCAAAATCAATGACTTATTCAATAAAGATGTTTCTGAGGACATAAGAATGCAGAAGAATGTGAGGTAGACAATGCCTTATTGTGGTTTTGAATTGCATTTCCCCAATAATTAGTGAAGTTGAACATCTTCTCATGTGCCTGTTGGTCATCTATATTATCTTCTGAGAAAAAATGTCTATTCAGGCTCTCTGCCCATTTTTCAATTGGGCCATTTGTTTTTGTGTTGAGTTGTATTAGTCATTCTGAATTTTTTTTTTTTTTAAAAAGAAAGAGGCAGGGGGGGTGGGGGGAGAGAAATATAGATGTGAGAGAGAAACATCAATTGGTTCCCTCCCATACATGCCCCAGCTGGGGATCAAACCCACAACCTTTTGGTATACTGGACCACACTCCAACTCAGCTGCACTGGCCAGAGCTAAAATGTTTTTTAATTAGTGAAAGATGACCCCATTCACTGATTAAATCTAAAAATTTTAAATTTTTTTCATACCTTACAAGAAAGAACCATAGTGAAGATTTTTAAATAAGTTGCAATGTATAATCTGTTCAATGCAACAATGTGTGTGTATACATGAATGTTCTATTTTTAACTTAAGCATTTTGTGATCTATAAATATACACAGTTGCTTTTTTTTCATGTTAAAGACAAAACTAAAATTAAAACTACTGAATTTATACTTTGCAATCTGAATCAAAAATAGCTCTAATTCTAAAGTAGCCCCAATAAAGCAAATATTATTCTTATGCGTACTAATGGACTATATTGAAACAAAGAGAAATATATTGGATTTTGTACTTAATTTGAAGTGTTACCCTTGAAATCAATTACAGATGTTTACTGTGAAAGAGGCTACTATGAAGACTACAGACTCAAATACTGATAATGGTTATTGAAAATTCAATTTATGGAATACTTAGAATATAGGTTGAACTGGAACCTGTTGTCAGTATAATATTCATTAGTAACAATTTTTTTTAAAGACATAGAAGGCTATTGTTTTAATATAAATCAGGAGCTTTAAAATCATCTTTAGTGCTTTCAACTGTCACATGGCCATGAACCAAAGACCCAAATAATTTCAAATGATCAGATACTGCTTAGACAACAATTCTCATGTGTCAGTACTTTTAATATTGAACACAATTACAGTAAAAAGACAACTATAAACAAGATGTAGCCTCTCCATTTCCATGATCAGCACACTGCATTACAGTAAACCAAGTTTATATTCCACCATCAAGTGTGGTTCTCCCATTAGTTCACTTTGTGATGGGTCTGAAAACAAACAGAAACACATATTAAAGATCTCAAAAAAAAAAAAAAAAGATAAATTCAATGATTCCACTTACATGAAAATTTAGAATACGCAAAACTAGTTTCAAGTGACAGAAAACGGACTAGTGTTGCCTGGGGCCAAGGGTAAGCGGACTGACTGCAAAGGGACCAAGGAATCTTTTTGGCTTCCCAGGAGGCTCTACGAACAAGCTCTAATTAAGAGATGAGGCAACATCTTGATCGAAATAGCAAAAACGTTTCATCTCTATTTTTTATGTTCTTTTGCATACACAAACATGCACACAGGCATAAATCAGAATTCTAGAACAAGAAAATCTTAACAATTTTCCAGTGTGGCACAGAGATGCCAAAAGGTTGGCCGCCCCTGCTTGACCTCTCCTACCCACTATATGCCTGTAGCACTCCCCGCAAACTGTGATAACCAAAAATATCTTGAAAACATTGTCAGATGTCCCCAATCTGACAATGGATGAGTCAAACAAAAATTTTAACTGTGATAATACACCTAAAAGAGCTTTTAATATTAATACCAAGGGTAAGCTTCCTAAAGACAAATAAAGCCTATTTTCTTTTCTTTTGTTTTGCCTCCTACTCAGCAAAGGGCTAGAAACAGAATAAAAAACTAAGAACTGTAAAATCAGTTTGTAAAAATATATATCCATTCACATTAAAACAATGATTACCGAGAGTGACCAATCAATTTGGATGTTCCTCACTGAATCTCATAAGACTGGAGCTTGCTGTATCAGTTCAACAATCTATATTCTCCACACTTCTCACACAACAAAGTAGCCTTAGCAACAACTTATACTGCTGGTTACTAATAAACTGCAATGTATATAACAGATATTTAAAATCTACACTTAAATGTCTATAAGAGTAGACAGAATAGGCAAAGATGTTTGCTACAGCCCTGTTTTGTGTCAATAGGTGAGAAAAATGTAAGCATCCATCAACAAATGTACTGATATATCATGCATACTGTAAGATACATAGTATACCAATGTCAAAAAAAATAAACACTAAACTGCCAAATATTTTCTGACTATATAGGTGTGTATGAAGACACACAGGAGGACATACACTAACAACAGGAGGTAACCAAGGAATGAGGGAAAGAAATGGGTCTAGAGGACCTGAGTTTGGGCTATATTTTAAATTTTTAAACAAAGAATATATTCCGATAACAATTTCTTTTAAACTCTGCTCTTTTAAGCTCTGGGCTTTAATAAAATATGTTCTTGTTAAATAAATCACTTGCCCCAGAAGACAGCATACCATGTAAGCAAGGCACTGGTCCATGATGCCAGCACCTACTCTGTCAGGAAGCTACTGTGAGACTCCAGGGCCCGAGCCTCTGGCTCAGCCTCAGTTACTCTTTTTAAATTGAAGGACTGCAGTGAATAGAAGGCCCCTTTCAGCATTAAGAAAGATTTTGTTTTTGATTTTACTACTGCCCTCCTCACATGCCCTTCCCTTCTTTGTAAAATGTACAGATTGTTCTTGGCCAAGCACTTCACAGACATGTGAGCAGAACTCTCATCCCCTCCAACACATTACAAAAGGTAAACTGGAGAAATATACAGATTTCCATCACGGTTTAACAGTCCTCACACAGAGTTCAGACTAACAAACAACTCCCTCAGTATAGACATAAAAATTCCTCATGGGTCAAAGATGATGAGGAGAATGCAATGAGCAAGAGCTTTCGTCACTTACTAGCGATCAAGCATTTCATGAGGCAATGGGGACACAAAAGCTAAGAAGATAAAGTCTCAAGATCTCATGATATTTGTATTTAAGTTGAAACAACAAATAAGAATGAAGAAAATTACCAGATAATTGCTATGCAAAGAATTAAAGTGAGGTGACAAAGCAAATGAGGACTACTTTAGACTGGGTAGTAAAGGAAGGGCTCTGCAAAGCAGTGACCTTTAAACTGTGTTCTGAAAATGAGGGGGGAAATAGTCTAAGCAGAATGAACAGCAAAAGCAAGGCCCTTGGGTAAAGCCATAAACTGCCGTTATATTATGCAGTCACAGTTCCCATACAGAAGAAATTACGCAAAGTGCCATGTAGTGGTCTCATTCTGACAAAAATCATCTATCTAATCAGGAGACCTTTCCAGCTCATGTCTACCTTAGAGAGATGCAAAGAATGAATATAAAAAGAAGCCCACAAGATAGTGAACTTTTTAAAAAGTGAAATTATATTACATCTCTGTTTAAAACCATTCAGTGGTTTTCCATTGCATTCTGAATAAGCTTCTACAAAGCTCTGGCTCCTCCTTGCTTTTCAACCTGACCTCACTTCACTCTCCACTTTTCTCAAAAACACTCCAGCCACATGGGCCTTCTTAACACATTCCTATGTGTTGCAAGACAATTCTTTATGGGTCTCTCACGATTCTTAAGTCTTGGACACAGATGCACTGCTTGCCTTTGTTCTAGACTCTTTTCAAGGCCAGCATCAGAAGACAGAGCTTGTGCATCTCCAGAGCTGGTACGTCTGGAGAACGGACCAGGGAGGTTGAATGTCTATTATAAAGATTCTGGTGCCCTGACCTGGAGTGGGGTTCTTGTTCCTGTAACAAAATACAGGATATATGCAGGCATCAAGTGACCTTCTTCTTGCTGTGGGACCTGGGGCTCAGGAAACCAACAAAAGAGCTGAGACTCTGGCTACTGCTATTGTTATAATAAACTGTCCTTTGTCTCTAGTCTTCTGCCAGTATCCATGAAACCAAGACAGGCTAATTTGTTAGGCTTATTAGTAGGATAAGCATCTTAAATCTTTCAGAGTACTTCAGCTGCTCTCAGGTAAGTGACCCTGAAGATACTGCTTCTTCTGCATGACATAGTCTTCTCTCTTTTAGGTCAACAAACTCAAATATCTTTTAAGAATCAACTTATGCGTCACAGTCCCAGAGGTGCCTGCCTCTTCTACCCAACAACAAACACTGTCCCTATCCTTTTTATTCCTAGAAGGTAATCACAACTTATAACTTTTATCTGTTTAATGTTTACTTACCCCATTAGAAAGCAGATGCTTGTTTTCTCACCACTGTATATCAGAGCCTAGCCAAGAGCCTCACACATAATAAATATTGGACTGACTGACTGAATACTTGATAAGTTCCACTCCCTTTCTTTTCACAGAATCACAGAAGCTGATTTTTAAATGAATGCATTTTTAAAACTAATTAAAAGATAAGAATACATAGACTTGAACTATCACCTTACTAATTTTAAATGAGGTATAAGTTCAATGTTAAAGCTTAGGAATTCCAGGTTTTCCTGCATTCCAAAAGCTCCCTCAGGGAAGACTCTCAAAGAGGAGGCTCACTAGACTTTTGTTGTGGCCACAGCATGTGTCCGGTTTCCTTACCGGACATCAGCAGTCAAGCAACACTAATATAATTTAATTCTGTTGGGTTTTGTGTTTCTCCTGAATTGCTGAGGCATAATGAGCAGAGGCAATAGTGAACAGAAGTATATTTGTTTAACTTCCTCAGGACCAGAAAAAATAGAGGATGCATGTATTGTTCTTCAGTCACACTATCTTGTACATGGTACAATTATTCAGGGAATTTTGTTAAGGGTGACAGATTCTTTTTTCCTACACACCATCAATAGAAGCATAAAAATTATTTGGGGGGAGGCAGGTATTTTTTAAAGAAAACTTTTATCTTTTTTTTTGTTTGTTTTAAAAACTAGTCATATCCCACAAATTTTGTGAAACTGAAACAACAATCCTCATTTAAATTACCTTAAGTATATTGTATTAGACTCATATATCAGACTTTATCTTCAGGACATGAAATGAATGATATGACGATAGCCTCAGAACTCCACAAAAAAATTTTTCACTTTTATAGCCAGTTAAAAAAGTTATTACAGTTAAATTGTATCTTATTGCAGTGAGGCCAATCAGCAGTCAGCCTCATGAAGACAAGTATGCTGTGGGTTTTATTTGGAGCTGTTGCCTTGTACACTATTGGGGTTCCAGAAAAAGATGCTGAATGATACTTACCATTAAGAATATCTTCAAATCCAATAGTCTCATCATTACCCCTCAAAATGTCCAGTGAAAGATTTGAGCTTGGAAGAAATGGAAGACGCTGAACCTTTGGAAAAAGTATGAAAGGCAAAATTAGAAAAAAACCCAAGGGGAAAAGATGTACAATCTAACATCATGTTACTCATTCTTTATTTGTAAAATCCACAAAACTAAATAAAATGTCAATTTAACTAGAGAGGAGAAAAAAAAATACTGTTCATATTTTAGACCGAAACCAAGTTTTTAAAAATTCCTCAAAACTTTACTTAAAATATGCAAAGACCCTAAAACTGTACTTTTATTAACACTTAAAATCCTATCAGGTTTATACATATTTGGGGGCTTTGCTTCCATCCAGGAAAACCAAGAATAATCCATCTAATAAAATGCAAAATCCCAGAGCCTAACACTGTATCTAGTTTCTAATAAATGTGGGATGATCCAATTCCTGAAGAAATTCCAACTCAGTGAGACCATTATTCTACTTAGTAAACTGATTACTTCATTTTGTATGTTGTTTTGTATTGTTCATAGTACCAAGGTAAGTTATGACACTTTCAAACACTAGTGATAACCAGAGATAAAGATCAAAATAATCTGCAGGGCCCTTAAAAAATACAATACCATTTTGAACAAGTGTTATCTACTTTTTTCAAGTATTAAGTAAGTATGCCACAGACTGGTACCTACATATAGTGGAGAAAGCGCAGGCATGAAGTCAGAAAGATCTGGATTCGAATTTTGATTCTACTATTCACCAGTCTTAGGGCTTTGCATAAGTTACCTCATCTGTCTCATCCTCAGTTTTCTCACCTGTGAAATAAGATTATACCACCTCCCTCTCAAACCTGTAGTATGGTGTGGTATAAAGTATTTATATAGAACAGTTACTGGCATGTATTTGGTTCTCAACAAACTTTAATGTAATTTTTCTGTCCTTCATTATTTGTCTGACAGTTATAATTTGAATCAATGCAGACAATTTTGGATATTGCCAAAAAAATACCAAGAGTAATAGGTGGTCAGTGACTAGTATTTTAAAGTAATCATAACTTTAGAACCTAAGGAAGCAGTTAAGATTCTTTCTCCCCACCAAAGAAACGTATGCAGGCTAAAAGTATTTTTAATTACGAATAGCTTATAGAGTTACTTAAATCTTTGTGGCATGAAAAAAATTTCTCTAGCTTGTCAAAACCGAAAAAAAAAAACAAAAAAATTTGACCCGGGGTAGAGGGGATATAGAAACAGAAAGGAGCCTGTAAATCAAACCAGGTAGTGGTATGGTAGGTACAGCTTGACCAGAGATACAGACCTAAGAAAGCCTCAGAAGCAGGGATAACAGGCAGTGGTTATATATCCTGACAAGCAAGAACTGCAATAATATATAGGGGTCAGAAAAAATGGGCCAGAATTCTGGACAAAGATCTTTGGATTACATGGGATTAAAAGCTTGGGCCCAAAATAGGAACAATGTGTGGCTGAAATCTGAATAGTAGGAGCATAAAAAGGGAAGCTAATAATTTTGTACAAAAGCATGTATTTCATTTAATCTGCAGAATAATCCTAATAACCCCACATCGTCCTCACTGCTACCTCTATTTCACATTAAAACCAAATGATCTGAGGCTCAGAAATGTCTCTAATGTATTTAAATTAAGACTAGTAGTGGTAAGATTCACATTCAGGTTACTCTGATGTAAAGCCATGCATACTCTTTCGGGGCTTATCCTTGGGTAAATGTTCTAAAACAGCTTCCAGAACGATTCAATGATGGTATTAATAGAATTTATTGAAAAATACACAATTTTAGCTAGGTGATAGAAAGAATTCACGGTAGTAGGAAGAACATGAGCAAAAGCCAAAAGGAGAGGGAAGAAAATTAGGACACTGCAAGTAGCTGAGGAAGCAATGGAGCATGGTGAAGAGCAAGAGGGCAATTCATGACCAGGGCCATGGTAAGGATATGGGTTTTACTTTGAGGACAAAGTCTGGTGAGTGACATGATCAAATTGGTGTTTTACAAAGATTATTCTGGCTAGATGTGTACAATGGAGGGGCAGGCAGCAGGGGTGGGTGTTGCAGTAATCCAGATGATGTGCAGCTGGGCTCAGAACCCATGTAGTCACAATGGTAAAAAGAAGTTAACTGACTAGATGTTGGAGGGTGTGGGTGGGGGATGAGGAGCTAGATGAGATAACCAAGGCTAATGTTCCAATTTCTGCCTTAGGAAAAACTCTGTTTATATGTAAGGAGTATGTGAAAAACAATGAGTTATTCCATCCTTGGGTGGAACATGAAGTGCCTGCAGGACTCCCAGTTGGGGAAGCCTATAGGTTTATAGCTCAATGATAACTAAAGTCATAGGAAGAGACTGAAAGTAACAGGATGTGGAGAGATTAGAAATGGGTACTTACTAATAAAACTGGTAGCTGGTATTTCAGGGAACCAATAAAAAAAAGAGGCAAAAAAGAAAAGAAACCTAAACAGCAACACCTGAGGATGCGGTTTCATAGAGGAGAGGGAACATCAGGAAAGTACACTGTCCTAACAGAGCAGGGAAGTAGGCAGCTATCATTACTGTTACATACCACAGGGAAATCAGCAAAATGATTTTTTTCACTGCTCCAGAGCAGTTTTGGTGATGTGATAGGAGCCAGAGAACCATGGGTTGAATGAATAAGAGGTAAAGAAGTGTACGTGGCAATGTAGGCAACTTTTTTAAGTTTAGACTTGCAAAAGTACACTTAGTGAGAGAGAAGGTGCTATAAAGGGATTTAAGATTGATTCAATTTTTGCTTTGTAGAGGTTCCAATACAAATAAATGCTACTGATTTCCAGCAAGGAGAGAGAGAGGTTGAAGATATCGGCTATAGAAAGGATCCATGAAAAGCTAAGTCCCTGAAGTAGTGTAATGTGACAAATCCAGAATGTGGGTGAGGGACAGTTCTTACATCCTTGGAAGGACATTTCTGAAGATCTTACTCTTGAGCAACATCTACAAACTGCCTGCTTCATAGTTCCACCTGGATAGACCCACGGGCATCTCAAATTCAATGAAACCCTCCAAAAGAAAAAAGGTGGATGTGGGTAAGTTTTCAGACACTAAGCCTGTAACTTGAAGATATTTTCCATTTAATGGCCTCTTTTTTTCCTTTATATTGGGTTGGCCAAAAAGTTTGTTTGTTTCTATATGACGGTTCTTGTAGCGCTTAGTTGTCTTTAACTTCATTTGAAATAATTTTGTTAGATTGCATTGTGACAGCTGTTACAGTGCTATACATCTTTAAAAAAGTATCAAAATTGGTGTTTTTTTGTGCAGCCATTTTAACAATGAAGAAAGAAGAAAATACACAACAATTTTCAGCATATTATGCTTAATTATTTAAAGAAAGGTAAAAATGCAACTGACACAAAAGTTTGTACAGTGTATGGAGAAGGCACTGTGACTGATAGAACGTGTCAAAAGTGGTTTGCTAAGTTTCTTGGTACTATTTACATTTTGGCCAAAGAATTCTTGGCTGTGGGACTGTCTGACGCATTGGATGATAGTAAGTAGCACCCTTGGCCTCTACCAGCTCAAAGCCAATAGCAGGAGATAGCCAACATACTCAATATATCCAAATCAATAATGAGGTTACTGGTGAAAATGAAAAATGTGTATTTTATTTTAAGGGAAAAACTAAATGGACTTTTTGGCCAACCCAATAAAATAGGAATCGAAGTCATATCCTAAAAGGGGGGAAGTAGAATAGGTTGCAGGGGAGAAGGTCAGGTTTGTACAGCTGTTATTAAATAGAAGAATCATTCCAATTGGTATCAACACACAGCTGGGACGCATACATAACTGACAAACTACGCTCACCTGTTGCACTGCCTTGAATTCCATTTGCAATTTTAGTGGAGCAAACAGACCCTGGATGTTTCTCAGTGTGGAAAAATTCATTTTATCTTGGTTGAGCTGGAACTACAAGACAGTAATGTAATTTTAAATGCCATACTCAACATTCTGCATTCAAAACAATTAGCACTGAAACATGTAATATAATACTTAGATGAAGAATTTTAATATCCATAACTGAAATAAAAACAAAGCACTTTTACTAATTTCTTCAACAAATTTTTTGATATATATGTCTATATTTTATACAGCACACAGGTATACTTCACCAGTGTAAAATCATCACCTAAAGTTTGGATTTACAAAACTAATAAATTAAGGAATATTTTTCACATTGCAAAAGTATATTCACAAAGCATAGTCAAATTTTAGCACTTTTGATTATAATTACTGCAAAACCAGTAGAGCAAAGAAAAGGTATAAATGAGATCCAAAGTTACATACAGTGACAAAAACAGTAAATTTCTAAGTACAAAAGTGTGTATCTCAAAAGATTTCATAAATAATCAGATCCATTATACCTCCCTTTTAATTAAATAATGTTTAAGCTCCAAAACTCTGAACAATCTATACTTTTTTCTGAACTCATACTTTTATTACTTCTAAAAAACCTTTATCACAATTTAATGTTTTTCAGGCAAAATGAATCAACTTGACTCATGGATTCTAAAACACAGTTTCCCAAAATGGCTCTTAAGAGTAGTGTAGTAAACAGACTACTACAGAGATCTGAGTTCATGAGGTAAAGTGACTTCTGTGATTTTTTTGTTACACTATACACTTCATGAGTTTTTTTAAAGTCATCAATAAAAAAGGGTAACTGATCAAAAATCTACTGCGAGATTAGTACCCACTTGGGGCACGATCTGGGGGGCTATACATACATAAGAAGTATGAAAGTAAGATATCTAGCAATATGGCTTTTAATTACTTTAGCTTAATAGCAAAATTCTGACAGATGGCCCAAATTTTGGTCCACATTTAAGGAAAATCTGCAATATTTTATTATGAGTATATGACCTGAAATTCTAATTGAAGGGTTTCCTTTTAATACTGAGTGTTCCTCATGATAAGTAGAATTTCATGTAGATTCAATTTATAAACTTTGATAAATACACCCAACTTGTAATGTGATATCAAACTGCAATTACCAATCAACATATACCTAATTATTAGCAATGCATGCAAAATTAGAATTAGGCTCTGTGGTGATAAACAACAAAATAGAAGAAAGAGTCCATCCCGGAGATAGACTGTATATATGTTATATATATAGTTGGGAAGACATTACCCACAGATCAGGGCTTCTCAACCCTTGGCACAACTGACATCTTGGGCCAAATAATTCTCTTCATTGCAGTGAATGTAAAATGTCCTGTGCATTGTAGAATGTTTAGCAGCACACCTGGCCTCTCCCCAACACATGCCAATATCAAAGAACCTTCCCCCAGACATCACTTTTGACAACCAGATATTACCAAATGTTTCCTAGGGGTAAGGGTAGGGGAGCAAAATCATTCGTAGTTTGAGAACCACTGGAATAGATGATGGTCATCTTCTTCGCTATCACCACTGCAGTCCCAATCACGGAGAGTTACTGTAAGCCAGCATGTGCTGAGGGGTGGGCTATTACTAACTCCACTTTACTGATGAGGAAACCAGGACTGAAAGAAAGATGAAGCCATTTGCCCAAGTTTACTTAAGTAGTATAGCACTAAGAATTTAAACCTCCAAATACTGTCGCGCAATTACACAGCCCATATTAAAGGACTTATATTATAATAGATGACAAGTGCCACAGAATTTCAAAAGAGAGACTGCCATGAGCTGATAAGTGATTAAGACAACATAGAGACGTAAGCTTAGTGTCACAAGATCTATGAAATTTCTAGACTCTACCATTTTGGCCAATCTCTCTCAGATTTGTCAAAGTTTCTTTTAACATGTATTACTTAGAACTAAACCAATATTCCCTATCTAACAACCAAATTAATACTTAGGAAAATGAAAGGTATGATCTCTCTTGATATGAGCCCCACCTTATTATTAATAAAGTCCAAGATTCACATTCTCCTAAGTGGTTTTTTGAATTCTTGCCTAGTCCTCTGATCTATTTTGTCATGTGATATAGTTCACTTATTCATTAAAATGAGCTATTCTTACCAGTTTTTTCTTCCATAAACCTAAATACATGTCTTTTATGGTTAACCTCATCTTTGAAAAATATTTAACCTCCCTAAATCAACTTCTGAGCATGAAACCAGAATGCACTTAAATAACTAGGAGCCCTTCTATTCCCTCATCTCATTTGAACTTCAGTTTCACCATCACATTATTTGTTCTATTTTTTCTTATACAAAGATCTTTCCCCTTGCTAAAGAGTAAGGGGAAAAAAATGGAATAGGTCAGCTCTCCGGGTAACAATACACCATATTCCCCAAATAACGAATCTTTCTTCTTGCTCTGAAAGTGTTTTTAAAAACCTGTATTGTCTAAAGTACATCTATACAGGTTATACGCTGTTTGGTAACGACCTTTCCCGATCTATTTACCTGGATAACATTGGTCTAAAACCATTCAAATGCCCCCTCCTCTATAAAGCCTTCCACAATCCCTAAGCACAGATGGTTGATCCATCTTTGCCCCCTAAGCATTTTATGAAGGCCCTGTCCACCGCTTGACCTCCCATTAAATTTTCAGCCCCTTAAGGTTAGGAATTATATCATATGCATCTGTGTACCTACTGTGCCTAGTAAGTAGATATGTCTCTCTGTAACTTGGAGAAGCAAAGCATGAGGAAGAGTTCAAGGCTAGAGATAGGGACTTAGAGATCTACATCAAAAAACTAGTAGGAGAAAAATATAAAAGGAAAAGGGATCATAAAATGAAAAAATATTATGAGAGGAATGGAGAAGTGGACTGACCTTTAGAAATATCCATTAAAAAGACAGAGTAGAATGTGTAGAAAGGGAACTTTGGTGAAGCAATATAATAATTCAAAACCTACCCTACAAAGATATTGAAAATAAGGTCTTATATTCTTTATGGTCACATGCTCTACATCAGAACTGTCTTCTTAATTTTTTTTTAAGATTATTTATTTATTTTTTAGAGGCAGGGGAAGGGAAGGAGAAGGAGAGGGAGAGAAACATCGATACATGAGAGGAACACTGATCAGTTGCCTCTTGCACACCCCCGACTGGAGTCCTGGCCCGCAACCCGGGCACATGTCCCCATGAGGAATCGAATCGGCAACCCTTCGGTCCTTCAGTTTGTGGAACAACAATGGGCCCACTGAGCCACACCAGACAGGGCCTGAACTGTCTTAATAAATGAAACCACAAATGTCTTAATGTATTTTTCTACTAGAGGACAAAAATATACTGTTAAGATACTTACATTTTTTTCTGATAATTCAAGAGGATGACTGGGCAAAAGTTCATTTTTCACACAAGTAAAACTGAAAATAAATGTTTAAAAGAGAGATTACATATTACAATACTAAAAGCTCAAAATTACATCTATCAAAAGTATAACTACAATGGCATGGTATGAGGGAGTTTTTGGGAGATGATGAAACTTCTGTCTCCTGACAGGAAATGAAACATGCATACAATTCATCTAACTACCCACCAAAATGAAAAAGAAGCCACATTTTAAAAAGGCAAATTTACTATATGCTGTTTTAAAATTCATCTATCACAGATAATGGTGGTCAAGACTTCAATTCACTAGAGAGATCCCTCTAAAACATGGTGTTAAGTAATACCTGATATCTAGAAGAAACTTAACAAAGTATGTTTATTACTATTATTATGATGACATGCTTTTGTATTATATAAAACATCAAAGCCTCTTCTGCTCAGGTCTACTGTCTATTCAATATTTAATGTATCTTTAATAAACACATGTTGAACAATGTTTGATATTTACTGAACACAAGAACTAAATACAAAGTGCTATGTTAGGTGATACACAGCTAGAACCAAGCCACTGGCCTTTATTACACTAGATATACAAAGACAGATATCATCCAAACAGCATTTGAGAGCTGACAGAAACCTTAGAAATCGTACAATAATAATTTACTGAGTAATTTCTTCACATAAAATATGATCCTAAAAGTAAAATTTTAAAATGGTCCCGTTCATGGCAATCTTTCAGACTAACCAGGAAGAGAAAGGTGCATTTCATGTGAGAAAATAAATAAATAAATAACAAATCATCAGGACTTGGTTACTGGCTACCTTATGAATTTGATTATACAATAAATCAAATTGTATCTCCAACTGCAAAGCTATATACTGCACCTTTAAATGGAAAGACAATAATGAGGCATTATGTCTGTAATGGAATACCATTCTATTACAGTACAACCTGAATATCGTAAAATTAGATATAAAATTCAAAAATTCAAAACACAGAATGTTCATGGTGAGAGAGGCATTATTCTTATTTGATTAAGCAGAAAAGCTACCTGCCAAGAAAAAGATCTAGTACCAGAAATTGAAACCTAAATGTAAAGAAACATAAAGGAAAATGAGGGAAGGACTGTAACTGTGTGCTAAAGCTAAAAAAGAAAGATAACAGCAGCTAACACTTACTGAGTGCTTACTAATGTAAGTTAGTAATTCTTACTACTGTAAGAAGCAGGCACTGTTCTAAGTGTTTTCCATGTAATACAAACTAATTTATTCCTCAAAATAACATATATACTATTAATAGCCTTATTTTACAAATGAGGATAATACGAAGTAGAGCAATTAAGTAACTTGTCCAAAGGCATACATCCAACAAACAACACAGCTGGTCAAAATCCAGGCAGCATGAGCCCAGTCCATGCTCTTACCTGCTATGTTCCAGCTCTCCTCCCATAAAGTGAATCACTCCAATAGTTACGAGTTAAAAAAAAAGGGCTCTTCAAGTTATCAATAGCAAAGTGAAGAATCCTACCAAATCATGCTACTGTGTAACATATCCTAGGAGATGCCCTGTCATGGGAACCTATTACTTTGATAAGGCACTTTTTTGGCTCTAGAAAACATCTAAGCCTCCAATCATCTCCTCTCCCAATCTAAGGTATATTACTTGCTAACTCCCAAATTAAATACTTATATTTAGGGCCTACCAAAATATTTAAAGAATAGTGTGAAAAATAACTCCCAGAAACAGTTTATTATAGCAAAGTCAAAGTCACAAATCCCCCATATACCCTTTTCGAAGAAGATCATGACTTTCAAAAGGTCCACTTGCTGAAAGCTCACTAACTGGAATACTGTCCTTCAGCTGAGATCCAATTCCTCTGGTATTCTACAACACAAATAAAGAACATTATTAAATACAAAAATTAAAAAGAAAAAAACAAAACCATGCTGAATGTCTATGTAAATGCCATGGTTTAAGCACTAGAGAAAAAAAAAAAATTAAGGTCTCTGCCCTCAAAGAGCCCAATCTAAACAATCACAATGAACCTTATTTAGCTTTATGCTAGAGGGACACACATGATACAGTGAATAATATCAAATTTGGGGTAGGAAGGATACCTGAGTCATTTCTGAATGCTGTTAGATTAAAAGGCATTCCAGGAGAAAAAAAAAAACAACACTAGTAACGGTATAAAAGTATAAATGATCAAGTGAATAAGGCAGAAGTAAAGGCCGGCAAAATGAAAAGGCTTAAACATGCAAAGAAATTCACTTTTATTCTGAAAATGATAAAGAGCCTCTAAAGGGTTACGGTATGATCAGATTTATTTTCATTGGAAAGATCCCTCCTGTAGGTTGGTATGATTAGCACAGAATGAGAAAAACTGAGAGAAGACTGTTGGGGAATATCAGTCCTTCAGGACAAGGCAGAAGTACAAGGAAATGGGATTAATAATGAACAGAATAGCTAGAAGAGAGTGGTCACTGAAGCTAAAAAAGGAAGGAATTTCAGAAAATGGTTTTATAAGAAGGTACTACTTATTTTAAAAATTGTATCTAATCAGGACAGTGTCAAACAAAAACAAAGACACAGTGCATTTGGTAGTGATAAATTGTCACCCTATGCATTATACAATAAAACATTTAATCATCAAATATTTATTAGGCATGTACTATGTGGCAGATACTCTGCTAGATGCCAAAGATACTTGTCTACCTTCCAGGCCTTAGTCTGATGAAGATAGATTAGACAAACAAATAAAATGTAATAAATGTTACAAAAGGTAAAAACACAAGATGCTGACTTAAAATCACTAGTTGCTAAAGTTCAATATCCCTGCAATTCTGCAGAAAGATGTAAAACAGTACAAGTAGTTTGGTAGCATTTTTGTACTATTCTAGGAGAAACTACTCTGAGAAACCAGCCTTTTAATTGATTTCTAAAATCATTGTGTATTTTATTTGGTCAGGTACTTTATCTTGGCCAGGGTTTCTTCAACCTACCACTCTAGTTCAGGCTCTCACACCCGGATAATTTCCACAGCACTCTACTGGGTCGTGCTGCCCATACACCCTTCCATTTTCCAACTCTGCATATCAAAGTTTTTCTAAAAATATACAATCTCCTCTACAAACATTGTTAAAAAAAATCTTTCACTGATTCATCAATGTCTTGTCTGCAGAATGAAGTCCCAGGTCTTTAGCCTGTAACTCAAGAACCTGCACAGTATGTTTCAACACTCACGCCCCCCTCCCCCCGCCCCGCCCCACCGCCGCCGCCAAATCATGGCCAATCAGGAAAAGGAATCTAGTGTGGACTGTCAGTAACCCATTACGTGACTGTAATCAATACATTCACCCTCTCTGGCCCTGTTTACTCATCTTCCCAAATGTATATCCTGTTACTTTCCTGCACGAACATTCTCCTCCTCCCAGACTGCTTCATTGTAAAGTGACAGAAGGAACAAAGGAACAGGGAATTCTGATGTGTTCTGCTGTAATCATCTTCCCAATTACCTTCTGCAAAATACCAGGATTGGTACTTGATGTTTCTAATAAAGTAGCAGAGGTAAACAAATCTATTAAAAGTTAACTATCACTAGTTACACTTGAGAATGTTTATAAAATCTCTTTACAACGACCAGCAGTGTTTACTAACTGAAGCTTCCTCGATCTGGACGGCCTAGCAGCAGTACCGGTATCAGAGTCTGGTGATTTAGGAGTCCTTCCCAAACGTCACAACTTTTAAGTTAAAAAGAGAAAGAGAAGGGGAGAGGGGCGAAGGAGATGGACTAACAATGCTGACAAACGGAAAGTAGCAATTGTCTGGCGTTACACAAGCTCCCAAAAACGTTTGTAGAGTAAAGCTAAACGGTAATAATGTGACCTATAGTGGGTTTGTTATGAGATAAGTTCCGAGGGTCAGGGGTGGGCGAGTCTGGGGACTCTGGGCTACCAGAGAGTCTCCCCTCAGGGGAAAGACAGGAACGCCACACCACAGAAGGCTGCACTTTCATTTTGTCATTCCCAGCTCCACTCTAACTATAAGGAAGGGGTCGGGGTCTGCTGGGGGACTTGGGGACGGGAGGGCACAAGCCGAAATAACAGAAGTACATGAAAGAGGATGAAGCCGAAGCGCTGCCCGCGGGAACTGCACCAGAGGCCCGCCAGCCTGACAACCGCGAGCTCCCAACCCCATGACTCGACATATCCTGGCGCCTAAGGCCGGCCCCATCCTCCCGCCATCACCGCCGCCGGTGACCGGCTGCGAGGTGGCGGCCTGGTCCTGCCGGGCCTCGGTCCCGAGCACGCCGGGAAGTCGGGTCGCCAGGGGTTCACTCACCATTTTCAGCGTACTCTGCGAACAGCCTCTCAGCACCCTAACCGTCAGCCAGCCCGCCACTCACTTCCGTTTCCGGGGTTCCCCCCCACATCCGCCGGAAGTGCGTCCGTCCGGGCGAGGAAGGAAGAAGGGCGCGGGTCCTTGGGAGGGAGCGACGCGGTGTCTGCGTTCCCACGCTTGCAGTCCTGGGGGGCCGGGGGCCAAGGGCGTGGGCTGGGAGGAGGGTGAGTCGGGAAGAGGTGTGCACCGAAGAGTGAAGACGCGGACCTCCGCTCTGGTGGAAATAAACATCCACTGTTCGTTTATCTGAACATGTGCGATGTGCTCCAGTGGCTGCATCGCCTTTATTTAATACAAGACCTCTTTTGGGTAGACCCTATTTTTTCACGAGGGTGGACGAGGCATGGATGGAAAACGTGATTGGCTTGCAATCTTTCAGCCAGTGAGGCAAAACTGGAACACAAGGTTTTTTAAGTTTTTGTTTGTTTGTTTTAAATCATATGGTGAAGGCCTGCTATGTTTGGACCCTGTGCTGTGGATAAGAAAACAAAGGAACCAGGCTGATTTGGTTCCTGGGCTAGAGGAACAGAGGAACTGCTGGGGGTGGGAAAGGTGATATTAAGTGTAACAATTACTGGCATAGATTGGTTTTTCACTATATAGTAACACAGTTTTGCTTTACATGAACTATTTCCTTTAATCATTTCAATCATCTTATGAAGTAGGCAGTACTCTAACTTAAGTTTTACAGGTAAGGAAAGCAGGACCTAAAAGGTTTAAAAGAAGTGCCCACGGACCCATAATCCATTGTCATACTACTGTACTGTGTTGCGTAGCAAATAAAATGTGATAACATGGACTTATGTTCTGTAGCCATATAATGGAGCTAACGAAAGGAAGGAATCCTAGGGCTGATAGCCAAAGGATAAGAGTGAAGGAGTGTGAAGTAGCAGAGTATATGAAAGGATATTACAGGCAGATTTACTTGTGCGAAAACTGAAACAGGAAAGGTCTATGTGGCTTAAGTAAGGGAGAGAGTAGTGTGAGATGAGACTGTAAGGAGATGGAGGCAAGTTTATTGTGGAGGACCTTGTGCACCAGATTAAAGATGAGGCTTTATATATTAAGAAGCCACCGAGGGATGTTAAGGAGGGAGGTGATAAGAGTTTCATATTTATTTATACCCACTACCATGGTCTTGCAACCTTGAAGTTCTGGGGTTAAACAGACTTTAAGTACTGCGCACTGCTGTCCTCTCGCTGTTCAGAATATCTGTGTTTACCTTGAGATTGGAGTTTGAGTGTATTCAGTGCATCTTTTTCCTTTCAATCAGTTCCATCTAAGGAGACAAATTAAAACTGCAACTTTTTCTTTAAAATGATTTAAATGTTTGTTGATTGCTTACAGTTCAGTCATTAAATATTTGTTGAGCATTTGCTTGGTACTAGAATCTGGAGCTGTGGACAAGAAAAAGGCATTTCCCTGTCCTTGAGATGCTGTTTGTTCCCCAGAACAATAAAAATGGAAACAGACATTTAAAATGCAGTGTAGTAAATACTTGAGAAAGGAGCTGGGCCAGGAAGTGGTTGGGAACAGGAAAAATGGCATTTTAGGAAGAGGAAATGTGGAAAGGCAGAGATGTGCAAAAAGACATGTTCTAATCTGAACAATGAAGGGCCCTTGTGTGGTGTGCTGAGGTTTTGGGCTTTTTCTTATAGGGACAGGAGATACGGAGGAATATTCACAAACATTTGACCTTAAAAATTATTCGGGTGACAGTATGAGGGATGTACCTGAATTGGAAGAAACTAGGATCCAGGATACCATTCAGAGTGTTGTAATAGTCCAAACCAGAAATGATGAAAGTGGAAATTAAGGTAGCACAGCATATTGGAAAGACTTTGAGAAGCAGTGAAAAGCAGGCATGAACCTTAGAAATACTAGAATTCAAAAGGCAGGGAGAAGGGCAGTCTTCCATGGAAAACAAAGACACGGTCAGACAGAATGAAAAGTAAATCTAAGTGCTCTGTTAGAACCCAAAGGGAAAGAAAGTGCTGAGAGGTTGACAAGCAGTTCAAAAGAGATGTTAGAAAGTAGTTTTAAAAAGATCATGAAGTCTTGAAAATAGGCCTTTGGTGACCAACACAAAGGCAGTTTTAGAGCAGCAAGGAGCAAATTCACCTAATTATGAACAGTATACCCATATTTATATTTTTTAAAAGAGATTACAGTATTAACTAATACAAGGCAGTGTTCAGTGTGCTAAAAGAGTTTAAAAACCATATTTTATACTAGAACTGTTAAATATGTTTGCATAAGCTGTATCTTATAGTTTGGAGAATAGAATATTATTAATAATAGTTAATATCCTCTGTGTGTCAAGCTCTGCTCTTCTTTACACACACTGATACATTGTTGCACCAGATTAAAGATGAGGCTCCAATTATAATTATACTCCAATTATAATTACTTATGAGGTAGATATTATACACATTTATATATTTTTAGATTCAAGTCTTTTATTGGGTATATGATTTTTTAAATTTTTTTAAATATATTTTATCAATTATGCTATTACAGTTCTCCCATTTTTTCCCTCTTTATTCCCTTCTGCCGTGCACCCCGCCACCAGCATTCCCCCCCTTAGTTCATGTCCATGGGTCATACATATAAGTTCTTTGGCTTCTCCATTTCCTATACTATTCTTAACATCCCCCCTGTCTATTTTGAACCTATTATTTATGCTTCTTATTCTCTGTACCTTTTTCCCCATTCTCTCCCCTCCTCTTCCACTCTGATCTCCATTTCTGTGATTCTGTTCCTATTCTAGTCGTTTGCTTAGTTTGTTTATGGTTTGTTTGTTTTTTTAGGTTCAGTTGCTGATACTTGTGAGTTTGTCATTTTACTGTTCATAGTTTTTGATCTTTTACTTAGGTAAGTCCCTTTAACATTTCATATAATAAGAGCTTAGTGATGATGAACTCCTTTAACTTGACGTTATCTGGAAAGCACTTTATCTGCCCTTCCATCCTAAATGATAGCTTTGCTGGATAGAGTCATCTTGCATGTAGGTCCTTGCCTTTCATGACTTTGAATACTTCTTTCCAGCCCCTTCTTGCCTGCAAGGTTTCTTTTGAGAAATTAGCTGATAGACTTCTGGGAACTCCTTTGTAGGCAACTCTTTCCCTTTCTCTTGCTGCTTTTAAGATTCTCTCTTATACTTAATCTTGGATAATGCAATTATGATGTGCTGTGGTGTGTGCTTCCTTGGGTCCAACTTCTTTAGGACTCTGAGCATCCTGAATCTCCTGGAAGTCTGTTCCCTTGGCCAGATTGGGGAAGTTCTTCTTTATTTTTTCAAATAATTTTTCAATTTCTTGCTTTTCCTCTTCTCCTTCTGGCACCCCTATGATTCGGATGCTGGAGCTTTTGAAGTTGTCCCAGGAGTTCCTGAGACTTTCCTCATTTTTTTGAATTCTTATTTCTTCATTTTGTTCTGGTTGAATGTTTATCTATTCCTTCTGCTTCCTTTACTGTTGGTTCCCTGTATATTTTTCTTTATTTCACTTTGCATAACTTTCACTTTTTCCTCTGTTTTGTGACCATACTCAACCATTTCTATGAGCATCCTGATTACCAGTATTTTGAACTGTGCATCTGATAGATTGGTTATCTCTTGGTCACTTAGTTCTATTTTTGGAGCTTTGATCTATTCTTTCATTTGGGTCATATTTCTTTGTTTCCACACCTGTTATGTTAGAAGGGGCAGAGCCTTAGGTATTCGCCAGGGTGGGGCAACCCAGGTCACTGAGTTGTGGTGCTGTCTGTGGGGGAGGGGTCCGAGAGGGAACAGTGCCACTTGCTTGGCTCCCGGCCAGGTACCAGTCACTTCCCACACTACCGACAAGTAAATTTAGCCCTTCTAGTGCTGAATCCCAGGTGAGTGGGAGGGTTTGTGTACATTTTAGGATCCTATGGGTCTCTCAATGAACTCTCCTGTGAGGCTACGGCTGCAACCTCCACAGGTTTTTACAGCCAGAGGTTTTGCGCCTTTCTTTTCCCACACTGGAACCCCGGATTGCATGGTCTGTCTTGCTCCCCAGCTGTTCCTCCCGGTTTATCTGCATGCAAATGTGGGACCATCCGGTCTGCCATCCGCGGCCTCACCCACCTGGTTCTTCTGCCGCAGCCTTGCCGTGCATCCTCTCCACCCTGGCTGCATGTCTCCGCCCCTCCTACCAGTCTGGATGAATGTTTCTTCTTTAACTCTTTGGTTGTCGGACTTCCATACAGTTTGATTGTTTGTCAGTTCTGGTTATTTTTTGTTTTTAAATTTGTTGTCCTTTTGGTTGTGTGAGGAGGCAAGGTATATCTACCTGCAACCTCCATCTTGGCCGGAAGTTCACACATTGTATATATTTTTTTAAAGATTTTATTTATTTTTAGAGAAAGGGGAAGGGAGAAACATCAACATGAGAAACATCCATTGGCTGCCTCTCACACATCCCCCAACTGGGGACCTGGCCTGGAACCCTGGCATGTGCCCTGACCAAGAATAGAACCAGCAACCTTTTGGTTTCCAGGCTGGTGCTCAGTCCACTGAGCCACACCAGCCAGGGCTATCCATATTTTAGTTAAGAAACAGACCTGTTGTGTGCATTGTAGGGAAAAAGAACACTTTAAGAAAAAAACAACTTTGTTGTCTTCCTTGACTTTACTCTTAAGCTTCCGGCACAAACATCTCTTGAATGCGTATAGTTGAACACAAAAGAAACACCCATCTAGGTCCAGGCTGGTGGTGAAACATAGGCCAGAGCAGGTGGATGACCACAGCCAGGCGTAACCGAGGTTGGTCATTAGGAGACCAAAAAGCTGAGCTGAAAAATTCTCATGGCTTTAGTTGAGGCTTCATCCCTCCAAAAGTGGAGAAGGGTGGTATAAAGCAGATGCATGCATTTCCAAGAAGTGGTAGTTGAGTGATAATCAAGCAGTAGTAGTGAATAAGAGGCTGTGCTGACTTTGTCTTGCCCTGTGAGTCAGGAAAAGAGAGAGAAAGAACCGACACCACTGCTCAAGCTTTCAAGGAAAGTG